TATCAAAAAAATTATAACCGCATGTGTAAGCTACTCACTATGTATACCGACAAAAAAAGATCAGATGCTTTATTATTTTAATGATTGGATGCTATGACTTTAATTGAAAAAATTATCTCATGGAATACCTAAGAACTAACTCATTTTGGTCTATTCTACTATATCAACTGAAAGTTTTCTTGAATACTCATTCCTTAGACTGTATTCGAGCAAAATGTGTTTTAACAATTTTATATTAACTAAATTGTGTAATTAAACAGTACATTTTTTTTTATTTTGTTACAATTATGAATAAATTTGAAGACGAACATTGTTAAAGGAAGTATAAAGAATAGTTATGAGAAATTGGCTTTATAACTCAACGTTATTTTTTTCATATCTGTGCAAATAAACAATTGTACAAATGTGCGCTCTGTTTTTGACATCTACCTCCATAGTGTTAAAATAATTATAATTAAAAACGTTCACAAAGTAGCATAAAATTTATATTAATTAGACATTTATATACCCGCAGTTAATTTTATGAACTCTATCATTCGTATATTCTCATCATTCATAGTGCATACTTACAACAAGTACAGTACAAAATATATTTAACACACAGGTGATCAACAAAATAGTAATATAAATATCTAATATTTACTATAAATTAAAAATAAGTTATCTCAGTTTTAAATATCAAAATAATGTATACGTCAATTTGGCATTTAGCGTGTTTGAAGTATTAAAAAACATCAATAAATAATTAATTGAATTATAAAATAGAATATTTTTCATGTTCATAGAAAAATAACTAGCCATAAATATTTTGATTTCAAAAATAAATTATAATTTAAATAGTATGACGTATAACTTACATACAATATAATTACAATAATGCGATTTTAATTTTAAGATTAAAAGTACTAAATAAAAAACATAAGTTAAATAAATTACAGAAACATGGTAGTCTTTGAATTTTGAGTTCTTGGTTTTTTTTAAATGTCATCAAGTAACAAAAGTAATAGTTAGTATAATATAATAATAAAAAATAATACGATATCACAGATGTCTGTAAATAGTCCAATTAATAAATTATACAATATAAATATCGAATCTATTATATGGCCAATGAGCTCGCAACCCTTCGCGTACACACGTCACTTACATATGATAAAATATGTAACGTTATTATTACAGTATTTTTATCAGGTGACGTGCGTTACAATAAAAATGTGATATTCAATTGTTCGTCAAAATAATAATATTCACGTCCTATTTAATTTTTTAGTATTCTTTTTTTTTACTTACAAATCAGTTATTGCTTCATTAAGTATATTTTTGATATTTAAAATCTTTTTGTCACCCCTAAGTATGCAAAAAACGCTGAACACTGTATTAACAATATTGAACGGCTATTAAGTGGAAACACCTACAGCTCGACTTTTCTTAGCTTGTTGACGTATTTACAAAAGTGTCACGAGTTCAACGGCACATAGTGATTCTCGTGATGTCTGTTGATGTATTGTGAGATGTAAAAATAACATTAAAAATAAGGACTGTTATTTCGATACGGCGATATTAGGCCGTGGGGTTCGCGAACAAAATAATAATATTATTGTATTCCGGCCATTGAATTCTTCTTTAAGAAAAAAATCATTTTTCTTGTTCGTACAGAGAACTTCCATACACAACTAATCCACCGTGTAATAACTATCTGAATACACGAATGTTCCTGGGATACGACCAATTTTCGGATACTACAGCCCGACGTGTATATGATTGAGGTTTCCACGCGATCGTGCGCAACAATCTCGTTCGAATTACATTATATCACGAGCCCAAGTTGAGTATGACACATATTTTACTGTAGTTGTGATAGCTCAACAACGATACGTAGATTTTTCGACCATGAACTTCTATTATAGTTGAGAACTGGGCGAAGCAAACAAACTGCTAATTATTAGTAAAAACTTACTCGAAAATATATTATAAGGAAGTTAATTAGTCGGAATTTTATCTACGATAGAATTAATTCACGAATTCTCATATTAAGTGAGAACTTTTTTAAACGTGGAAATTAATTTGTTGACATAAATTTTATTGAATGCTGTAAAATTGAAACAATTGCGTGTATCTATTAATACGATTTAAATCAAGTGGTGTTACACTTGATCTAAGTTAAAAATTAACTATACCTATCTAAAATAATACCATAAACTATACCATTATTGGCATTCAGTAGGATAAAGCCATAGTTCTTCTTTAAATTAAGATATTTATGCTGAGTAAAAATATTTTCAATAAGACTACAATAATATCTTTGGCTATTTAAAAGCATATTACCAATTAAGAAGAGTAATCTCAAAAACAGACAATAATAAGAATGAAAGTCAGATTTTTTTTTATTAAAATAATTCACGGTGTTTTTTATGGTTTCGTTCCAATGTGCTTTAAATAGTATACTATTGAAACTGAAAACTAATTTTCGATTTGATGGTTGATATAAATCGGAGACAAGCTTACAAAATAAATAATAGATTATGAGAAAAAAATACTTTAATTTGATGATTTTTGGCGAAAATATCTAAACAACAATATGTTTAGAAATCAAAATTAATAATTTCTAACATAAAGAAATTTTATTTTTCTAAAACGTATAACAGCTGATAAATTATTTTATTCCTCATATTATAAAAAAATATTAAAAGAACAAAATTTATTTTTACAAAAATAAGATTTAACACGTTTTATGCTAACATCATTGGACATCAATTTTTTGGACATTATTTTTGAGTAGACCAGAAGAATAATTATACATGTATATATAATTATTCTTTAAGTTAAATAAAAAGTTTTAAGAGTTTTCAGTTAGATCAATTCCATTCTATATATAAGAATGTGGCTAAATCAGATATTTCATATTATTATTTAACCATAAATTCCCATACATAAATTATGGTTCACATTCTTCTGGAGTGTTATTATTTTCCAGTAAAACCAAAATTACAATATTAGTTGTTCGAGTGCTGATTCTTAGACTAGTGTATCGAATGAGCTATTGTGTTTACCAAATAAAATATCATCTCGATTGTCTGTATATGATTCCTTAACATGATATTGTGTAAAGCAACACTATGTTTTGTAGCCAAGAAATCGATTTAAATATTACATGATAAAATTGAACAACCGATTGGTCACAAAACGCGTAAACTGTAAAAAGGTTATTTAATTGAGAACGTCTCTGTAATTGTTCCGTGAAAATTAAGTGAGAAAATGACATTGAAATCTTTGCACGTTGGTCTATCGTCAGGTCAATGTACTAGTTATCAATAGCATTTCAGTATACCACGATTCTATGGTTTATATATATTTTGAACGAAGCATCAGACATATTGTCCGAATTGTGGCAATTAACTATATTTTAAGTAATTATACCAATTAAATTCCACAAACAAGCTATAGAGCTCATTTAAGAAAAATATACACATAATAATCTTATGAAAAATGTAACGCTTTCACACAAATAGTTATTAAAAATTAAATAAAAACTAACGATTCTTCAATCGAAAAAATTTTTAATGGCAGATAATTGTACGGGAACTACATTATACACAAATTTTGGTTTTCATCCAAAATCGAGTGATTTGTCATTTGAAACGAAAATGAAATTCTTTTTTGAAACAATCAAATTTTTATTCAATACTAAATAAAAATGTATGACCGGTGTATTCTAATAATTATGTTATTATTTTATGAATTTTATTAATTTTCTCTCTCTTATATGATTTGTTTTTCCAATTCATTTAATAAAACGAAATTCGACTTGGCCAAAGAAGCAAAATTTACGGTCACTGAATTTTTTTTGAACACCAACCGATCAACAGCTGTCACAAAATTAAAGCGTTTATTAGGTATATTATAAAAACTCCCTCGCGTTCCGTTCCAATGAAACTGTATAAACCTTAAGCTCCATTCGGCAATTTAAACATCCGAAAGACGAGTTACAGAAGTGATGATGGGGTCCATCAGTAAAAGGTCATTGAAAAGTATGTGCTGTTAACGTTAGTGCTTAGAAAGTGTTAGCCTCGACTCAACGAAATCCAATAATATGTTTCATCTGCCGACTTGCTGTGGCGCACATTATGTATTTTTTTACGTGTTCTGTGTCTGTGACGGCGACTGAAGGACGTTACGTAAACCCACACACACATAGGAAGGCCCGGAGTTCCGTGTCTGCATGGAAATTTCGATGACGGTCGTATACACAATGAATAAAATTCACTTTCTCCTGCGCAAGAACAAAAGACAGCCGTATGGCGCATTTACACGTATATCTTTACACACACACACACAGGTCACGGTCTTCTTACGATACAACATTGACAAATACTACGCTATTTTTATTTAACGCCGGAAATCGCATCTACCGATGTCCGTTCTAAACTTAATATACTGTGCACTTCCTATCCGTTTATTATTTTACAATGCTATCTGATTTATTCTTGTGCAAACTTATCATTGCAGTACTAGAATTTTAATTGATATTTAAGTTTGCTCCTATGTGACTTTTTAGAATAAGTGTTGGCGCAACACTAAACGGATATATATGTCGGTTCATATCCGTATTCAATAGAAATTCTTTATGTAGGTACACTATAAAGTTTCGTATAGATAAGAATAATAATCATGTGTAACACTCACGTTCTGATATATTGTCGCACTGTTAAATATCATAGGGCTGTTTTTACAGAACTCGATACAAAAATAAAATACAGTTTCACAAAATTATTGGTCGATAGATTATTTATTGCAACCATAATGTTCTACTTGTGTATTTATAATGTTAAATTTCAAACGGAATCTTATATAATTAAATTTGGTTCATAAATTAATCATTTCTCTAGAAAAGTTGATACATTAAAATCCCTTTTAATTTTTAAATATACAAATAGTTTATTCTGCGTTAATAATTTCAATTTTCGCATCGATTTAGTTAAATAAAAAAATAGTACACTTACCGATAATGACCAAAGCGAATAACAATAAAGTAACAGTGTTGATTGGTTTATTCCTCATGATGTCGATGTCAGACTTATCACATTTTTACCATTAGACCATTGATGAGTTTGTTGCGCGGTAAACACCACGTTACACGTCTTTCAAAACACTAATTCACGCGCACACGCGTAAATATTGTTAGAAAACCATTGAAAATTATCACCGATGGAAAAAAAAACAATGTCAACGAGAGAACCTCAAATTCAGGATGTGTCAATTAAGTATAGTACGGAGACACTCGGACACGTTAAGTATGAGAATAATGTATAAATAAAGAGGTCAAAGTAATAATCGAATGCGTTTAAACTCTGCAAATTAGAACAAAGTGTAAAAAATTATCATTCAAGATAAGTTCGAAATATTTTTAGGAATAGTAAAAAACACGGACGTAGTATGGTGGACGTCGCTCAGACAAACGTAAACTGAACCGTCGGGCATTGAAGTCACTGACATCGGTGCGCCACCGCCACCGCTGCCGCCGCCGCCGCCGCGATGATGTGAAACTCGAAACGGTTTTCCCCTCCGTTATTTAACTACTACACCGCGCCCCGGTAATAGTATACAACTATTATTGAATGTATCTATATAATATCTCATATACAAGCAGACCTACCATTACTGGTGTAATAAATGATAAATATATTTTTCTCATTTTCACACACATACAGACATGTATACATATCGTATCTACGAAAAATTATTGTTCGTATTATTAGTGTCTATGCCCAAGGCAGATCGCTCATTGTACCACCGATCGAAATTCCTTTGCGAATGTTATACTACAGTAGATAGCCGTAATATAACAATGTCCACGACTGCACTATGCAGTACAACCATCAAGTTTGGCAAGTGAAAAGCAGCAGACGCATAATACAAAACTCGAGATGAAAAAGAATTACACGAATTACATCTAAAAAGTACAATAAATATTTTTAATTGACAGGTACAACGACCAAATTTTCGCACGAATAATATTAACGTCGTTTTTTTCTTAATACAAAACTACTTTTATTGAGGGATGAAATACCTACACAGGTGTTCTGCATTAGGTTGTCGACCTCATTTATGAGGGCCAGTTGAATTGATTAGGTTGTCTCTAACATTAAATTATACCTGCTTACGAAAAAAGAAAACATTAAGAAAGTAAACGACTATAAGCATTAAACAATTTCATTGAAGACATTATGCTAATAGTTTTTACCAATAAAATTATTGTACTTTAATTATTTAATAATTATACGTAATTTTAAAGATAAATATCATTGGAATTATATAATGATATAATTAAAGATGAAAACAAAATAAATATTTTTAATTGAATTTTACAAATTCATGGGAATTTCCGTAAAGTATTATCTAAATAAGCTTATTGATGTTTAATCAATTTCAGTCAATCGTAACACTTATATTAGTAGTATTGTCCATAGTGTAATATCAGGACACTATTATGCAATTAAAATTATGAGATGAGTCATATCCGTTTATCGAGCAACAATTTATATTTTAAGTGCATACATACACTGTATTTATAATCAACAAACTGTTTAAAATACGAATTGACATAAAAGTGCCCCGTCAAAATTTATAAAGAACTGAATGAATAATTAAAGAAAATTAATAGTACAATAGTACAATGTACATTATTCACATCAAATATAATAGACAAACCTACTGGTGACAGTGATTCCGGACATTCCGTGCCTAAGTTTTGTTTTTTAAAAGACCCGCTATTCGCAGTAAGGGTCTGTCCGTGTACTAAATTATTTAATAAAATTAAACATACAATTGTTTAACTGGCCAATTTAAGATGGTGATAAACAGCTATTATAAGCAAGGATCAACCTAATTATGTCTTGATGACAAAAAATAATTAATGAATAAAAACACTTGATTACCAAAAGGGTAAACACGTCCAGTTATCAGTTGTGCTCTTTAGTATTTTATAGTTGTAAAAAAAAAAACATATATATATATTTGATCAGTGAATCAATATAAAACTACTGGTGTATTTTTGTAATACTCTCCTATTTACACTAATTTTATTGCTTTAAAAGTTTAACATCAAATAAATCTGATAAATTAATTTTAATTGACTTTACCTCTCTCGGAACTTTTCATTTTTTACTTCGATAAAAATGACATATCCTCCCGCACCTATGGAAAGTATCACGAGCTCAAACAAGAACCGATGGTTCATCGGTTAGCGGTCTTTTGATAATATATTGCTGATGTTGTTATTCAGGCGGAATGTGACCTTCGTAGTCATGTCAGGATGCGACCCAGCAACCAGATAAAACGCCTGAAGGTTTAAAGAGTTCGCCGAAGATCAAAATGTGTACCATTTCCTTTCCTGTCCGCCGAGATTAATGGGCGTTGTGGTCTTTACTAGAAGAATGTATTGACAACCTGGTTGTTTGGTTATTGAAAAAACTCTTGTACCCAACGCTTATTGAATAACAACGATAATTGTTCAAACCTGACTGTGCATAACAAATGTCGATAACATTCTAGGATTTGATTGACAAATGACAGATTTTTAATTTATAATTATTTGTTTTTATATCAAACATAAACATAGATTTGATAGAGTCAAATTTATCAAAGAAAACTATACTAAATATAATATTTATCACTCAATAAATGAAAAAAAATTCTGAATTATAGTGTTACAGATTATATTTGAAACATAACGATATCAATCTAATGAACTATGTGGAAAATAGAATAAGTTACTCTTAACCTTAACTGATACGCTCAATACAAGTTATCAGAAAAAATTATTAAAACGAAGTTATATGTACAATAATAATTATTGTAATAATCTATTATAATAATTATTATTATAATAGATTAAAAATAAAATTCAGAGATTCAGAATTAAAATGTTTAACAATTTTCATTCATACTTAAAAAAGAAAATTATCTGAGCAAATGTATTGTATAATTTTGAATCAAAACTATAGCTTTAATTAAGATTATGACATTAAAATAATATTTAGCAAAAATAAAATGAAATTTCAATTAAAACTATATCAACGTTTAAATAATCGCTGTCCTATATAAGACAGTCAGATAATCAATTCATTAGATACACTTTGATTTAAATTGTTATAACAAGTATATATGATAGGAAGACCTACAGATCCTCCAATTATTATTTAACGGTATCGCATATTATAAAGAAATACAAATCTATCCATGACAATATCCGTTAATACATCAATGGAATAACTTGAATTAAAAAACGCCTAACAAGTCTAGTCAGAATGTAGACTACTTTGATTTAAAAAAAAAGATGTATTTTCAATTACAAATATAATTAAGTTATTTTTTTAAAGAATGAAAATTCTTACTTTTAAAAGTTATAAGTTAGAACAAATTTTGAAAATTTATTATATTGGAAGAATAATTAAATTTTAAGTCCCTATATCATAAGAAACAAAAATTTGATTTTTTTTTATTAGAAGTACATAACTGAAAAAATTGTAGTTCAATTTTAAATATAAAAAAATAGAATTTTCATTGACGTAATATTTAAAATAACTAGTAGGGTTTAAAGTATAATTAACATCTTACTCTTATTTACCCTAATTAATTCTTATGGTAATTCGTCTAATACTTTGCTATAATTCAGTACAATTATTTTAATGACCACTGGAATAAACCATAAATAGAGATTCAGTACCAGAAAACCAGCTTAAAACAATCATCTGAAAAATGTATTTTCCTTATTTTCTGAAATTAAATATAAAAGTCATGGTAAAAACAAGTTCTATTTGAGTTAACTTGTCACAAAGAATTTTTATATGATTCAGTATCCGGTTATGTGGTAACTCAACGAAGATAAACGCACTCACATTTATTCACTCATTCTTCATAATTTTTATGATACAAGCTTAAAATATTTAGGAAGATATACTGCAAATATACTCACTGGAAAACAAAATGTAAACATAACATCAATTTTGTTCCACGTGATGTATCTGATGAACAATATTTTATCTTTATCATTAAAGCATTCGACCAGCATTCAAATGTCCATAAAAAATGCCATTTCCAAAAATCTATACATGAAAAATATTATAGGTGTATTATACACAAAAGGACAAATTGTCAATGTAATACACGACATAAGGATGAGAGTGTATAACAAAATAATTTAATAAAACTGCATTTTTAAAGAAGCTATACAATGTCCTGATTCATATCATTCTATTTAGCCAAAAAATCAAACGCTACTTGAAATTTTAACAACACCTGAAAAGACTTAATCATATTATTATTATATTTAGATGGCTGTAGTTAATTTTTTTTAGTTAAAATAAAATAAATGAACATAATTCGAAAAAAAAATATTTCCAGGTTTGAAATTCGTTCACGGCAAATTCATAACATTGAAATCAGTTAGATCATTTACTAAATGTGAACTATAGCAGTTTTATTTTTTATCAACAATAAAAATAAATAAAATAATTTATAGACTATTTTCCAAGTGTAACTCCAAAGAACGGACACTCAGAAACCACCTGAAGGAATACCTGTCATAAGTAACAACATAATATGAACGCAATGGCGCGTCTTTATAAGAATCTACCTGTAACAGCTCCTCTGGGGCACAACGAAAAGGAGATCCCAAAGACTTATGGAAGCGCAAAGCCAATGACCCTATAATACTGGAGTAAAAATGTATGTTATGATCTTGCGGCTATGCATATTCTAGGTTTTTTAATAAGTTAGATATTTAAGGGGTGGTCAAACATTTTTTTCGAGGTAAGATGAAAAACTTCTTATAATTTATATAAGGAATTTTAGAGGAAGTAATTTTTAAAGAAAATTTTCTTTAAACCTTAGGTAAAATAACAAAACAACTTTGTCACGCACTATTTTTTACATGTTGTCTAATTAACATATTCATAACTTAAATTCTTTAATGTTTTTTTTTCAAAAAAACACTTAAAAGATAAGGGTAAAAAAATAATTGTTTTATCTACATCAATAAAAAACACAAAATATCAACCATAAAATCCATTAGATCTTATATTTATATAATAATTAAATATCAAATGATTTTAATGTTTATACTTACATCCTATCCATCGAGGTAAGATTATACAAAAATGAAAGAAAAGAGTATATTTAAGAATAAAAATAATACAGCGATATGTACTAATTAGTTTTAGCCCTTAATATTTAGTCATCGATTACATTGCTTAAAAGTTCTGTTCCGACATGCATATAACAATCGTGTGCTATCAATACTATTAGTTTAGGAAAAATTATAAACGCTCAAATATTAACATATTATACAACAATTTTATCGATACTAAGTTCAATTGTAATAATTAATTTATCTATTTTCCTCGATTATTATTATTACCCATGAATTTATTATTTTTAACAACTATTTCTATTCTTTACCCTTATATTTCTTACCCTTATTATTATTATTTTTTTTTTGGACTTGATGTTACACATTATAATATTATTTTAGAAATGCTTGTAGAAATATTTTTATAATTATTAATACGTTATAGTTAATGATCTTTCGTTGTGACATTTAGATAAATAAAAAACAATAAGACAGAACCATAATACTAATTCTCGTATTACACAAACAAAACTACCATACAAGAGTTTTTCGTAAGTTAAAATTCGTTATCGTTACACATTTTTTATACGTTATAAAAAAAAATGTTACATATTGTGTATGACTCATAAATACCTAATATTAACTATATATTAAGTTATTATTATATAGAGATTAAAATCGTAATAAAAATCGAAAATTTTGAGCGTTTCTATAAATAAATCTTTAACCATATTATTTATTATTATTATTAATTATATAATACGAGTAATACTTAATATACACTACATGTTAAATTATTTTCTTTAGCGGTTCAATGAAAAAAGGCACGACTATAAACAAATTAATTTATAATACGAGATGGACTCGTGTTTGCGTCCCGTTACTTAATTTAGAGACACTTAAGCAACTAATTAGTTAATCGAATAATCGTCTTAATGTAAATTATTTTTATTATAATTATTATATAGTTTAAAATTATTATTTTTAATAATATTTTTAACTATTATTATTTTAATCCATTTAGCTCACTTAAACTTAACAGTTTAAATATATATATATATATTAAAGGTAAAAAGTATGCGTATAAAAACAAAACAGAACACAGTCTTTTTTATACTCGAAGAGTAAAACAATTATTATAACATTAATGAATGTTGAACGCTTATAAACGAATACTCGAGTAAATGTATATGTTTATCAACTAGATTGTCAAAAAAACGAAAACTTAAACAAATTATAAAGAAACACTAACGTTGAACACATAAAAATTTAACAAAATAAATGTTATTAATCCCTTTACCAGGCGTCCGTATATCTGACGTCTACTTCGTGGAGACCTGGTATTTTTTTCTTCAATACGTCTACCGACCGGACGGTTGCTCGAGTGCTATTCAAATTAAGTTTCTTCAATTTAACGAGGTCTGAAAATATTATTTTACATTAAGCAAACAAGCTCATATCGCATAATAAATTTTTACAAGAGTGCTTAAAATCACTTGAGAGCAATATTCCTTAACTAATTAACCTTTTAAAGACACATTTTTTTTTTTTATTATTATAATACTTTATTGGAAAATCATAAAAAAAATCTAATAGGAACCCATTGTATCATAAAGAAAGATTTTAGAATTTTTTAATTTTATAACTAATAAAATTATTTATTGAGATAAATATTTTAGAAAAAGATAGCTACACTTTATAGTTGATTTAAAAAGAAAACGATTTTAAATTTAAAAATGTAGTAAGTCGTTGACTTTTATAATGATGAATGAATAAAATTAATTACTTGAGGAAAGCAAAATTTTAAGAACAGTAATGACGTTTCAAAAATTATTAGGTACATTATCTTAATTTGACTCTTAGTTTAAAAAATTAGAAAGAAAAGTATAATGAATTTTAAATTAAATAATTATTATTTTGAATGCGATATGAGGACATTTGATGAGGGAGATCGTGTCAAGTGGAAGTTTAGGATAAGGGTACCCCAAGTAGTTGGGATTAAGGCGAGGAAGAAGAAGAAGAAGAAATTATTTTAAATTAAGATATAAACGTGTATTGGTAATGTATTTACTTATTAGCGAAACTATTCCTCTGTCTGTAACTTTAGTTTCACACAAATTCAAAACCTGAAGATTAGTTAGATGATCTGAAATCATCCTCAGTCCAGAGTCTCCAAACTAAAAAAACATACAAATTAATTTTACTTTTATATATTTTTAACCACAGAAAAATTATATAAAAAAATCTCATCATACCTGAGTCGCCCATAAATTGAGAATCTTCAATGAAGGCAGTTTTATTAATGTTTTAGCACAAGTATCGGTTACATTGGTAAATGCTAAATTTATCGACTCTAAGTTTCCAAAGGGACCGCAACCAAATATGGAATTCAGATCCAAGTCTGTTCCTCGATAAGGTAAAGACAGTTTTTGTGGGCCTCCTTTTCTTTGCTATAATTTTAAAATTCATAACTGTTGACTAATTTATTTTCCAAAAAATTTTACCAAATCATGCAGTTGACTTTGCCTAGACATAAAATCATCATAAACTTCACGACCAAACTCTGTGGACTTAAGCGTATCAACAATTTGCTGTCTTTGTTGTACGTCATCCACAACCATCCATTCGAGCATCAGACACAACACATCCATCACTGTTTTATTATTTTTCAAAGCTTCAGAAACACATGTGCCCAAATGCTTTGCTTTCAGATTTTTCAGTAACTTCTTTTTCTTACAACGTTCACAGTCCATTAGTGTCTTCAGCTAAAATTACATAGAATATTTAATAGATTTACTTGTGTCAATCATGTTCTCAAACTTTAAGACTAACATAATATACTAAGTTTTTTTGGATGCTAATATTCTTTAATAATAATTTAAGAAATTTAAATTACACTCAATAATACACTGTATTCTATATGAAACGATTGTGCAATTGAATGGATATCAAAAATAACAACGAAACAAATAGTATTATCTTAAATTGACGATAATTACAATAAGAAACATCATTTTTTTTTTGTTAAACCAAATGATATAAATACAATAACAAAAAGATATGGGTCATTTTTCACGGATGAATTTGTGAATATAAAATGTATTTTACAACTACTATTTCAAATACACCTATGACTGGACGATACGAATTCGTTCGATTCTTAAGTATACTACTTAGTAATTAAATGGTAAGACCACCAATTTCTGTATATAAGTAAACATTAGAATAATATATTCTACATTAAGTAAATATAATAATACAACAACAAATAATCAAAATAAAAATCAGTGAGTATTTGAAAAAAAAATTGTTTTTACTAAAATATCTGTTAATGAATATTTACAGAAAATATAATTAGGCTAAAGAATTAAAACAAAATGTGTTTTTTAACTATTTATATCAAGTGATGGTCAAATAAGAGGGGGATAAATTCCCTTCATTGACATACTTTTTTAAACATGTTTACAATTTTCATTATATTTCAGTATATATTTTATATTTTGGAAGATTTATGTATTCAATGATTTAATTCAATATAAAAGTTATTAAGTATAATTTATACGAAAAAAATATTAATACTAAAAATATAAGAAATTAAATTTTAAGTATTAATAATTATTTATACGTAAGTAAATTTAATGGAGTACTATTTTAAAATAAATTAAATATTTAAAATTGGCTTAGCAATTAGAAAGCCATTTATGCATATCTAATAGTCTATAATACATCTTAATAGAGTAAAACAAATAAAAAAGTTCTGGGATATGGTAGCACAGTTCCTTTGATGACTCTTATCATAAAGGTTTTTAATCCTCTTGACAAAATCATTTGACCGCCCTTGTATATAAGTACAGATTCGTGAAATGTTAATACAGAAATTGATTAATGTACATGTAAATATTCATACCAATTCAGTCCATACATAAGAGCTGCCACAGAAGACAGCTCCAATCGGTGAACATAAGTCAAACCATCCATCTTTTGTTTCACGGACAGATAATACCTGTTTATGGATATCACAATTTTCATGTAGTCCTATTTTTAATATCACAGAGGACATGTCCCTAAATAAAAAAACAACAATAGTTAATTAGCGTGTAAGTAGCACATAGTCTTATTTTCATATGCTATCATTGTTAAACAATATGAGTGACCGTGTAATAGCTATTAAAATTTTCTCATGAATTGCCAAGGTGACAATTAAAGTGTCTAAGATGTCATATATTTTGTATGTTTTTATTGTATTATAAAAACAGAAAAATTGTATACATAAATAGAAAATTCCAAAAAACTAGAACATGGTATTGAATGGAGTGCACATTATCATGTACATTATTAAAAGTAATTATTTCAATTAAAGAAATATATAATTCAAAATATGCACATATTGTAATAAAATACGTCTTTGAACTAAAAACAATTAAGTATAATGATCATTATATTCGTTAAATTATTTATATATATCAAAGTATGTAAACATAAATCATAATGGACTTAAGCAAGAATTAATAAGATCGAAATGTTTAAAACAATATAATATAACTGTAGTTTTTACTTTTATTAAATTATGATTTTTTAACAAATAAACTAGATGCTATTTTATAATAACCTTATTAAATTAAAACTTCAATACTCACTCCATAAAAATTGAACGAATTAACAGCAAAGCAGGAAATGGCAACGGACGCAATAGTTGAGCAAGCCCGTAAAGCCAATCGCTGTATTCTGATCTGTTGAAAAAAAAATGTAAACATTTATAACCTTAAATTATTTTTAACTTATAACATCCCAAATGTTTTGTTTACATGTTTTGAAGAACAACAATGTAGCATCTCAAATGATTGGTGTAGTAGCAATCGAATTCGGCTTCCGAACAATTAGCTGGTAACTCTTCTGACGCAGAGAAAATGGCAGTAATACAAGTGGACACCATGTTCGGTAAAACCCTGTTATGGGGGCACACAGCACTAGCACTATGAACTCTGTAATTAAATTATTATTGTTATTGAAACACAAATAACTATAAAAAAACTGTGCTACACTTAAAAATTCTCACCTTGATAAAAAACATCTAATATATTCACCACTTTGGTCTTCAATGTAAAGAGCTTTGATATAATCTTGAACCAAAGTGCGAGCCGTCAACGTTCTTGCAAAGTCCTGTTAACAAACAAACACATGATTAAATTGAAATTTTTTCTAGAGTTCCATTTAAAATAAATTACTATTAAACCATTTATTACATAATGAAAAAAATTGTTTTGCTTACAAAGTTATGTTTAAGTATTCTAGTAATGGTATATGACAGCGAATCTTTAATAATAGGCAAGCTACGTTGGTCCTTGCAATGATGCGATAAAAACGAACACATTTCGGCGGACGGGGGACAGTCTTCGATCAACGGACTCAACGTGCCAATCATATCTTTTTCCCAAGATTGTTTGTAGTATCTGTCTTGATCTTGAGCCTTGTACTCGGGTAAAAACTGTTAACGAAAGACAAAATGTTATTGTTCAAAATTAATCTCCAAATAAAAAATTAACATACTTGAGTAATAATTGTATTCACTATATAAGTAGGCACGTGAAATATTTCATCGTCGACCAATGGAATGTTTTTGGCCAATTCAACTAAACTCTAAGAAAAATAACACTCAATAAGTATTAAACTTAGTTTTACAAAGATAAATATTTATACAGACATGTAATTCTTTTAAAATGTCCTCTGGGTCAGTGAGATTCTTTAACAGTGTTTGATATTTGTGAACGTTTTTCTGTAACAAAAATAATTAATTCCATTGATAATTTGGTAACGTACATAGCAAAATAAAATAATTAAGAACTAATTAATTTATATTTTTCTTACTTTCCATAAAATCGAATAAAGGATTTGATCCCTTGAATGTTGATTGGTAGTCTAAAAATAAATAAATAAGAAAATATTATAGACGGCATTTAAGTTATGCAAACTAACATGCACGATTGTATTCATTTAACTATCCTTTACCTGAAGCAAGTATGAACCATTCGTAACAACAACTCTGAGGCAATATTTAAAGTTCGAATCCCATCTTTTCACCGGATACAAATCTTTTATTGCTTCATATCCGATACACTTTGCTAGGAAACCAGAAGGCTGTAAAAAAAGATCAAATTATTTAATTTAAAATACTGGAAGAACGCAATTAACTAAATAACAAAAAGTTATTAATTATTTCCCAATAGATGTTGTAGATAAATAGAATTAAAGCACACAAAATTTGTAGTACTCCTTATCTTTTTAATGTTAAGTTAATAAGAAAATATAATTGTTAAAAAAATAATTAAATCAAATAATTCAGAAACTCGTCAAACGCTAAAAATACAAAAGATTTGGTTATATTCAATTTTTAACATTTAATTTTAATGTTAATTTTTAATGTTTAAGTCAGTCAAATATCATTCTTCCGCAGATGATTTATTTTAGATAATTATTTATGGGTAATACTGTAAATATAGTAGCACATTTAGAAATTGTATAGTGATAGTGGTGTCTAGATAGCTTTTTTAACATAGAGTACTGGGGTGTTTCACTTCTCTACTACCCTCCTCTAAGATATATGCCCATGATGAGTTTGGACCTCTAGAGCTCACCCATAAATACGTATTCAAAAACATGTTCTATATTTTGTTATTATCATAAACAGTATGTATATAGAGTGTTCAGTAAGTAAATAAAAGGTTATATTGTCTTCTTTGTTCGTAACAATGAACCTGTTTACCTTTTTGAACACCATACTTTTAATCAAACATTGATTTTATTTAATAATATCCTGATTATGGCAAAGTAATAAAGTTTTAAATGAAAAAATATGATGACAATTTATTGCAGAAACACGTCAAGTAAAAAAATTTGAAAATTTATGAAAAGCGTCTAAAAAAGGGTGCTACACTAAAAATATACAGTGATCAGTAAGTAAGGAAACAAGTCAGTTGTTATAAACAATGGGAACACTAGAAACCTGTAAAATTATTAAATTTCTTTAGTGATTTTTGATTGTAAATAATAATTTGATAAGAAATGACAATGATCAAAGAAATGATAACAAATATCAATAATAAAAAAATAATTATTAAAAACACGTTAATTTAGTATAAATAATTAATAAATATAAATGTAAATAAAAAACTTTTATTGTCGTTTCTACATATTATTTTAGGTAAGTATTTTAAACATGTAATAATACAATAAAATTGATGAACTAATAAAGACTATATATTATTTTAGCAACACAAAATTGTTTTATTATTGGAAAAAAAAAGGAATTTTTTTATACAAGTATAATTGTTCTTATATTTATATATAAATAAAAGTACTATCTAATTTGGAAATATTTTTTAAAATTTCGCACTTCACGGGTTTCTGAAATATTCCATTAAATTAAACGATTGAAAAAAACCGGATGATTTTTGAAAGATCTTCTTCATCTCTTTCCTCGCTTTAATTCCAACTATTTAGGGTCGACCACCCTTATCCTGAACTTCCACTTGACACGATCTCCCACATCAGCTGTCCTTATATCGAATTCAATAACATCCTTCTATCCCTTTTTTGGTTTTCTTCTACCTCTTCTTCCTTTAACATTAATTTCTATGACTGTTCTTACAGCTTCCGATTCCTCTCTCTTCATAGTATGACCAACCATCTAAGTCTATTTTCTCTCATCTTATCCACGATTGACGCTAAACCTATATTCCCTCTTATATGTTCATTCATTATTCTATCTTTTTTAGTCTCTTCACTCATCCATCTAAGCATTTTTATCTCTGCTACAAACATTCTGTGCTCTACTTTCTTGTCAACCGCCAACACTCAGAACCATACATCATAGCTGGTCTCACTACAGTCTTATAAAACCTAATTCTATTACACAACTGCTGGTCCTATACACTTGAACTTTCCACCTCTGCTATCACGTCCCTACTTATTGTCACTAATTTCCTCATTTCACCTACATCGTGTTCTCCTTTGTCAAACTATGACTCATAAGTTTTATGCCTCTATAATTTCCACACTACTGTATGTCGCGTATTACTTTAAATATCAATTCCACAATACTATTCCTCCATTCTTTTGGCATTTTTTCTTCTAATACGATTTTATTAAAAAGATACTTCATCCACCTTATGCCAACACCACCTAATATTTTCCATACTTCTACTGGCACTTCATGTGATCCTAATACTTTATTCTTTTTCATTGATGCCACAGACTCCCATATCTCTTTTTCATTAATTAAATCTACCAGTCCCTGGTTCCACAAGATTTCCCCTTGTGTCATATTTGAATACTCCTCATTCAGTAATTTTTCAAAATACTCTTTTCGCCTTTTTTTACATCATTATCGCTTATTAGCAACCTGTTATCACCGGTTTTTTATACCTTACATTGTGGTAATCTGTTTTGTAACACTGTTTTTCTCTTACATTTGCAAGTCTATAGACTTCTTTTACACCTTCCTTTGTTCCTAACCTATCATACAAGGTACATTATACCTCTTAAATTTCGCCTTACTAACTGCACACTTTGCATCTTTGCATAAGCGTCTATATTCCATTCAATATTCTCTCCTTTTGCTCTTCTACCATACTTTGAATGCTTTTTCTTACTCTCTATGATTTTTTGGACGTCATCATCCCACCACCAAATTTCCTTGTTTCCTGACATTCTATTCCTACTCTCACCAACAATCTCTTTTGCAGTATTCTTTACACAACTAGCAAATCTATTCCACGCATTATTTATGTCTCCCTCGACATTCCACACCGTCCTCTCTTTCACGGTCTTTAAAAACTCTATTTCATTTTCCCCTTTCATAAAATAATTATTATATTATATAATGAAATATAATTTTTGTAACCATGTCCCGAGTCTTGTTTTAGTTAGCATTTCATTTAAACAAGTAATTCGTAAGAGCTTCAACAAAATTTAAAATATAAACTTTTATTATATATTGTTTATTAAATCATAGAAGAATTATTGTTTTTAAAATTTATCTAATATTTTGTAAGTAATCAGTTAACTTCTATGAAAAAAATCAATCATCTTTAAACTTAGTATTATACTGAAAATACATTTGAAATCCTTTATTCTTGTTACACATTATAGAACAACTTTGATTTAAAAAGTATAGTTCTCAATCAATACCATAATAAATAATTTTACATTTAAAAAAATGTAGTGAATTATTTTATAGAATATAATTTACTTTAAACATTATTTGTTAATAGTATACAAAAATTTTTTTAAGTCATTACCTAATGTTTTTCATGCATATGATGTAATTTTTGAAATCTAATAATTTTTAGATTAGCCTTCATTTTAAACAGTTCTCGAAACTTAAAGAATTTTTAAATCAAAAGTTTGATTTAGTTATCCTGAGTATATATGGAGGACATGGCGATCACACCTACTTGAAAAAAAATGTTCCTATGGTAAATTTTAAAGATTTTAGGTGTTGTAGAAATGAAACTAAACAGAGTTATAAAAGGTTTTATAGTCGCGAGTGCAGCTAATGACCAGATAGTACTTAATTTTAGAATTTAATACATTTAAGCCAACCTAACTAATTTGATTATTTGAACGCTTAAATACTACAAAAATATAAACTCAGTCACAATTACAAAAACAAAATTTTTGTTTTGGCATTGTGCCCAGTCTAACGAGCTTGCTTTAGTGTTTAAAAAAAATTAATATTAATAGAGTAACGTACTCACGGCGGGGTAGCGTTTGAAATGGCTCGACCACTTAAGTAGCATAGAAAAAAATTATGTAAAATAAACACATGATTAAGTACAAGTAAAGATATGCAGACCAGTTAAGATGGCAGACGTGCGCTTGTTAATGATAACTCATTTGTCGTGTTAAATTATTAAACCGAGTTCTATTGATATTCTAATATTTTTCTGAGTGACGTAGTTTAAATTTAATGATTTCAAATATTAATAATTTATATCAACATTTAAGCGGAATTAAAGAGGTACGTAAAATATAACTTTAGTCATAAAAATATTGTGTTTTTGTTGCCGTGTTCAAATTTTTGGTGACGCCTAAACTACTAATGATTATTAGATAACATTTAAACATTTAATTATCAATATCATTTAATTTTAATTCAGCTGTTTATTGTAACTTTTATTATTTTTACACAGAACAATTATAAACATTGACTATTATAACTGTTTATTATTAATCATTAAGTAATGTATACTATGGGTTTTATTAAATTGATAAGATAACAGAATTTTACGAATATCTAAACACTCGTTGACTTTAGTATTATAATCATAAAATATTTATTAGTAAGTTATAAACGTTCAAACTGCGTTTTTATTAAATGAACATTTGGAATGCATAACGAAAACGATATGCTTAACATACATAAACCTTTACGCATACAAAACCAAAATTGTGTAACGATTAAAAATTATTTCTTCTGCGAGAACATTAATACTTATAACTAAAAAAATATTGAGGATAACAAAGCATTATTAGTATTAATGCGGTCTCCTAAAAACTGCAAATAAAATTATTGGTTAACTTTAGAATCATTTTATTTGATATATTAGATTTATTAGCTTAGATGGTAAGCAGAAAAGGTATTGGTTTTGTGATATTGTCACATATTTTTGCTTTTTAAATTGATGTAATGTTTTTTCGACTGTATAATTGAAAATTTTCCGGAAGTCTGACAACTTCTTACTCAAATAAAACGAAAGTTTTTGAAGTATACTACTATATTACAAAAAAGATTTAACATCAAAATAAAAAATGACGTTATTTTCTATTAAGGAAATAATTTAACAAGTATTTAATATTCTAGAAAAATTTTAAATCATTGAAATTGAAAATTCTAATATACTAATTATACATTTTAACAGCTTCGCATCAAAAAATGCTTTATGACAGTAATGTTAATTACTGTTATATATCATCTATACTTGCCCTAATTATGCCACGACACCACTGTGATTTTTATACATTAACCATGATTATATACATATAACTACAATAATTAATTTATTGCTACCAAAAAAATAAACAAAAGAGAAAAAGTAAACGTAAAATAAAATAAAAATCATCATTCCGGGCAAGTTTCTAGGCATCCATAAACAAAATCAAAAATTTGTAAAAAAACTAAAAATAAATATTTATTGCATGATTTTTTATCAGGCGCTTATAAATAATAATTACTGTTCCTTATCACGATTGAAATAAATTACTCAAAAATACTTTTAAATCTTCATAAGCCTTAAAGAAATAAATCTAATAACACGAATTTTAATATTTCGTTGTTATTTACATTGATAAAATTAACAATTAATTAATGCTCCAAGAAAAAATTTAAAAATTATGGAAAACAATAATTAGAAAAGACATTATTTAAGTATTGTTACAGTTGGGTTATACTAAATATAAATATTTAACACAGATAGATCTTTAAGGGAGCCACCAGAGCTTAGGTATTGAGCTTTGTAATTTTTTTTTTTGTCAAATTATAGCTTATCTGAAAATATTTATAAAAGAAATTATCCCTTCAGTTTATAAAATACTCTACATGTTTTTACTCATTTACCATAACATAATGGGAACACCTATAGTGAATAATATCTTATTAAATACCCTCAATTCATGTGATGACTTCACATACCAGGAAGAGGTTCTTATGACATCATACACGATTGTTATGTGAAAGTCAAATGCAAATGCAAAAATTATTATAAAATTTAGCTATTAGAGAAATTAATTTAGAGTTGTATGAATTTATTTAGATTAGGTGTATGTAAGCTTTAATGCAAGTATTTGAGCAAAAAATAAATTATTTATTTATTTTAATAAATTTACTTAATTGATGAATTGTTGTTTTATTCCGAGGAATTGATATATAAGACCGATAATATAAAAACATAAAACATTATGTAAATCATTAAACGAGTATTTCCTTATATGAATGATTTCAAAAATGCATCATTAATATTATTTGTACTTACATGGTACATTGAAAAATCTTATTTGTTACAAATTATAACGGTTAGAATTCTATACGTTTTATTAATATTTTAGCTTCGATGCGAAGCTGAGAAGGTATTAATTTTACTATGATGCTTTTTTTTTTTTATTTATTTATTTATTTTTATTTTTGTGCCTGTTACCACTTTTTCTCAGGTCTCACCGAACTAATTTTTTCAACAATACGTAAAAAGGTCACAAATCGTTTCTAGTCGAAGACATTACCCTCAAAAATTGAAAAAATTTCCCTCGTTCCCCATAAATAGGGAAAATCTCCAAAAAAATTGCAAATTTAAAAATCGCTTATTTTCGAAATTTTTTCATTTTTTTTACTTAAAACTACCATAACTTTTCAAAAATGAACAAATCAATATAATTTTTTTTTATAGATGCATAATGTTTTTATCTATCATTTGATATACTTTTTTTTATAAATTTGACCTTTAACCTGCCCTCGGGGGGGATTCAATTTGACAATTTTTTCACAAAAAATTAACTTTTTCAACTTAACTTTTGAAAGTGTTCCGGAAATACTGAAACTTTTATATATACCTTAAATTAAAGCTTATGTAATTTAACTTATTATGAAAAAAAAATTTCCGTATGCTATTTTTGTGTAAAAATTTTCGATTTTATTAATTATTCTCGATTTCCCTTTATATATTATAAAAATATATTTATTTCTTTAATCATATATTACACTTATAAATTATAAAACTTGTAATCAGGATATAAATAAGGAAATAGGAGATCATGTAGTTTTTCCAATAATCCACCAATTTTTTTTTAAATTAAACACTATCTTCAGATTTGCATGGAATCGTTTTTTATGATAGTGGTTTTAATCACTTTCGGATACCATTATACTTGACCCAACTATGTCACGTCCCCACTGTGCCGCGACCCTACTTTGTTTATATATTAATATGATAAACAACTTTTCATATAATAACAAACTATAAGATAAAGTAAACATACCTGCTTATGGTAAATTTTTTTTTGGCATTTTTATTTTTTGCTATAATCAGATGAATACAAAAATAGGGAAGATGAAATAGAAATACACCCGAATTCTTTTCGCTGATTAAGAGGAAAACTTGAAGTTGCAATATGTTATCGCATCGATTTTTTATAATATTGAGGTCAAAGACGGATAAAAGAGATAGTTGAAGTAATTCTCTTTTTACGAAAAAAATAAATATATCAATAGAATCCTTAGTAGAGTTATTTTTTTAAACTTTTTATTTACGTATTTGTATTGAGTATTCAAAAACTTGATTGAGTTTATACAAATAAATAAAAATGTGTAATCGAAGAACTAAAGAATATATATTTAAATCATTATCAATTAATAGAGCATATTTACTTTATTATTATGTTAATATTAATTTATTATTTTTAGCTCACTGGTAATCATTATTGCTAAAGATATGGAATGAAAAGCATATGATAATATTGTTCATTATCTTTAGAGTGTATTGGATGAATAATTTTTATGATAATTGTCTAATAAAGAAAAAATTACAATTCACAATTTTACGAATTACAAAATAATTTTTCGTAATTCAATTATGCTATTTTTGAAAAATATCAATACAGATAATAAACATAATATAATAATGGATAGACGAAAAAATCTATTAAAGAATATAAATTATAGTAATTTTAGATATAATAATAAAAATATACGATCATATGATATAAAACTCATAATAATAATAATAATGAAAAACAATTTTTTAATCCATTTAAAATTATCAACTTTCTGGTCCTACAATTTTATCTCATCTCGATCTGTGTGACCCGTAAATTAGAAATTTAAAAATTTTATAATTCTGATATTGATCTTTGAGGAACTTACTGTATTAGATGATATGCAGTCGTCTTGGATACGAACATGGTGAGTCTCCCAACGACGCAAATACTTAGAACTGAGAATTTTGCTGATTATTGTGTTAGTATGATTCAGATAGCATACAGCCACGTCTATCTCACGTACCATACGCAACCGTTTTCGCGCCACTTTGATCAGTTCTGTATCGACACCGTTGAGCAGGCTGCACGGAGGTGGACTGTCGGCGCCGTCCGATCCAAAGTCGTACACAGACCCAGCGTGTTTTAGACCCGAAGGAGAATCCGGTCCCCCTTCGTCCGAGGAACAGTAATCCCTGTCGGTGTGGATGTCCGAATCGGACGCCTTCGATGGACATCGGTGTTGGTTGATTCGGCCGACGTCTTGCTCGTCGCTGCTACTACTGCTGCTGGAGCTGCTACTACTGCTGCTGCTGCTACTGCACTTCCTTACCGACTGTTCCATCATCGAAAGGTCGTCCATGGTCGTCGTCAGTTCACCCGGTGGAAAAACATTCCTCTGATGTTCGCTGAAAACAAAACATTAGTTCAACGCAATTAATCGCAGTTTGCACTTTGTCGTGGAATGGTCGAAAGTGTCATTGCTAAACAAAAAAAGGGAATTTCGATATCTCCTTTTCCGGTTAAAATAAACGCGATTAGCCGAATCTGAACAGAGTTGGTGCGCCGGCCAACATGTAGAACATGTGTAAACAGGCGCATATGCACATGGACCGTAAAAACAACATAATCTGCATATGCAGCCAAATCGAGCGTACGTTGGCATAACGACGCCAATAAAGCCGCAGATACGCATAGATTTATAAATGTCACACTAATCTTAAACAGAATCATTTTATTGCGTTTTGTGTGCTGGCACAATTTTTGTTTTTTATCACAGGGAAGCGAATCGAAGTCTAGATATCGGCACGCAGCATATTTTAAGGTTGAAATGAAATATTATAAAACAATTAAATACAATCGAGGTTTGCTACCTTAGCCCTAAAATAAATGGCACGATCATCACCGTCTAGTACTATAAGGTTGAATTAATATATTAGGTCGAAACATCCGAAAACGATGGCCATATTCATACGTACGTTATGAATTTGGCAGATTATTTCACATGACATAAGAGTTGAGAAAATTGTACAATTTTTGTAATGGCACTCTGCCAATTTTTTTTTAATTTTTTTTTTACAAATCGACTATTTTCAAATCATCACGTTGCTGTTAGCATGCACTAATGAAGTACATTCAAAGTAAAAACTAGAGAAGGACTCGGTTTCAGCTCTAGACTCAACCGTGGTATCAATCTACTGTATGTGCTTACACTGTGTACGGTCAAATGAGGATATGGTATTGAATTTAATGGTATCACATCATTACTGAAGTTATTTTGTTTTAATATCCAGTAATATTATTAACGCTCTGGCGTTCGATACGACAAACAATAAACATGCCAAAATAGAAAATTCCAAATACTCGTATTGGCGTTGTTGTATCGTTTCAAACAAAACACTGCACGCGATAATTAGAGACCTCGAATTCTTAGTTCGCGTTGATAATTATATGTTTTTGGGGCGTGCCGTGAAAAAAATAAACGACCAAAATTAAAATATCCTTCACAAGTTGAAATACTCTTAACTGTCGAGTACTCTGAATAGAGATCAACAATGTTTTGCAATGACTGTTAACTTAGAGTCGGTCAGACCAGATCAAATGATAATTGAAATATAATTTTAACACATTTAAGACCAGGGCACGTGTCGAATATTAATCAGCGGCGCCTTGTCAAAGTGTCGGGAAGTAATATAGTGTCGTTGGTGATAAAAATAATACATTGAGTAACATCATTATGCATTATGTTCATGTGTGTGTACACAGGATAAGTATACGTGATAGCCTTGCGACCTGATGACTTTTAACACACGTATATATGTATACTTGCTTGCTGACGTCATTGGATACGCAAAACAAGCCGCAATATTGCATATTTCCCTAAAAATATTTAAATTAAATAATATATTTCGGTATTGTACACTAAGTAGTACAGAGTGATTCTGAAGTCAGCTAAATTTAAACCGACACGAAGAGAAAATGATAATGTTCAGAGTGTCTAAAAATCGTTTCTATCTCACAAATAATGTATTCTATTTTATTAAGAGGGTTCATATCTAAAACGAAATGTTCCTTACACCATCAAATATTAAAAATACGGATCTATATGACCTGGAAGAGACTTGACTTTCCAAAATTACAACATTGGAAATAATTATAGGAATATTTATTATAACCGTATTTGAACTATCAATTTTTGTAAAACCAAATTATATGGTATTTTTTTTTTAAGAGTCTGATGACAATTTTATGTAACAACTGTGAAAAATCTAAAACGATGTCTCCTGTGTCAGATAATCCTAATCTGCCGAACGCACTTATTACTGACTTCAAAAAGTAAATTCTATAAGCATAATCTGCGCTATCGAAAAAAGAATTGGGATGTTAGTAATTAGAAATAATTTATTTTTTTAACTAATAAGTAATTAGTTTCAAAAATAATTTATCTGGTTTGTATTATAAATAATCAACGAGTCGTTCTGTATTCTATTGCGGTATCAGTGACGAAATGAATCTATTTTGGGAAAAATTAAGTATTAAATAAGTAATTTGACGACTACTACTGTTCAAAGTAACCATCGTTCCGTCGAATAGTAATTAATTAAAACTTATTGTTTAACTTAATGGCGCCATTTTTAAAACTTGTGAACATTATAAAGGTGAGCAAATTTCACACTGAAAATTTTGACCTATTTTTTGCAATTAATTATCATAATCGGAGAAAAATATGACTAGGTAACTGAAAAATCAAGACGTACAACTTCCCACCCCTACTATGACCTGCTGTTTTTCATGAAATTATTAAAATTAATCTTCAAACCACATCTTAGCAGTATTATTTATTTTTTGTTTAAATGAAAAATTTTAGAGAATTAAAAATAATTTTAAATGCTACACTTAATCGTATTCTAGCAAAACATATTCAAGTATTTATAAAGAGTTGAATATTATTTGAAACAATTTTTCTGTATGACATTAAAAATATTTTTTTTTATTGGTAAAGAAAACTAAAAAAAAATTGAAACTTCCTGCAGTAGTTTAAGAATCCACTGGTGTAATAATGTTTTATTTGTGTCCGAAAATTTGTTTGTTTGGTCTATTTTCTATAAAATAAACAATTTTTGCTTTGTTTCTATGAAAAAAAAAGTAATAAAACATTTTAAAAAATTACAAATAAATCCATTGTTTACGCTCGGAAACGAAAATAAATCACATTCACAAACTACACATTCTTCAATCAACGGCACAAAACAACCATATTTTTACTACATTAGAATAATGTTAATAGTAGAGCTGATCATCTGCATATGTATGACAACTTAATGTTAAAAAAGACTCTATTATTGACTGTTAAGTTAAGAGTTTATTAATTTTTATGTAATTCAATTTATTACTGAAATCAGTCCCACTTAAAATTGTTGAAGAAATGTAAAATGTTATTTTACAAAATATTTACTCAATATCGTTTATGATTTAAAAAAAAAAGTGTTCGGACCACAACAAATTGCCACTTACAAAAAATACACATTTTATATGATTATAAAGTAAGTTATAGATACAATAAAATATTACAATTATTTTATTTTTTTCAATTTTATCAATACTTAGCATCTGTAACATTCAAATTACGTGACAGTAACTACTAAATGAGTGAAAAATTATCATGGAGAATTTAATAGTTACTAGCAATGATTTACTAATGAGGAAAATATAATAACTAAACAAAGTGCATTTTTTGGGTCATAGTAATGGTAAGTGTATTCTTAATTTACACACGTGAGGAATGGTAGACTTTGAATCATTTACCTTTATTATTAAATATCAAGATAATAAAATTTAAACCAACAAATATTTTTAATAAAGTATAAAGTCATAAATAAATGACTAGGTAAAATTTTATTTACATTTTTTTACATGGGTGGGAAAAGTGCAACTGAGAATGTCTAATAATATAAATACCCGTTCTTCCCCAACTATAATTTAAAATCGTCATCATTTCTAAAGTACTGGTCCAAACGTCGCTTTCTAACCATTATTTTTTTTAATTAGATTTAATTTTAACTTTCCAATTTTATGAGTTAGTCAAATATGTATATTGCTATTTAAAAAATTTAATTAACACTCCTATAAGTTATAAGGGATGATGTTAAAAAGTAATCAGTTGCTAATAAATTAAGGAGTATATGTAACTAAAAAAAATTATTGTCAATATTGTATTTTTTTTTTTGTGATAAACTGAGTGAATTTTATAGAAGTTATAAGCTTTCAAAAAAAAAAAAAAATTATCTCTACTTTATTTAAATTTTAGTCCTTTTTTTAACTATTCGATTGAATTATATTTAAACAAATAGTTAAATATTACTCCTGAAATATTAGCAGAATACGCAGCTCACCGAATAATTTTGAATATTTCCTAGTTTTTGGACATACAACAAAAACAACTTCAATTATTTTCTCAATTTTTCTTTGTACGTTTGCAAATTCCGTTACATTAAGTTTTATGTAATGTAAACTATTGATCGAAGATACAAAGTTGAATTATTTTTGTGTTTAAAAAAGTTCATTATTCTAAAGTGATGTTTCATAATAATATTTAATCTAAATGAATTTACGTTATACTTCATGATTTATTTTTAATGTTTTCTTTACGACCCAAAATCGATCAATAATAAATTAGTATTCAAATATTTACACTAATCATACAATAGAACAACGTTAAACTGAGATAAACGATACGCAAAAAATATCCCTAAAAAATGTAGTTTATGACTACAGTAACCGAAATTCCATAATTCTTAATTCATTTGTAGTGTACAACACGGTGAGGAGTCAATTGGATTACAATAACACTCGGTGTACTTAAAAAACAAAATGAAATGTTTTTAAACACAACGGCGCGAGTCTTTTCGCTCATTATTAATTATTCATTTCAATTGCCAATGGTAGTAAGGTATTGAGATGACGCCACTATTATTGCAATGGATAAAACGTTGATTATTATTCTGCAAGAACTAGCAGCCTACAGATTTCTGTAGCACCGGTCGTGATCTACTAAAGTCTGTAGTATTTTAATATCTCTCCATAACTTTCTAAACATCCAAATGAAATGCATTAAACGTCTTTATACAATGTTGTTGTTGTTCATGAGACTTTCGGACCAATTCTGAAATCAGCTGTTTTGGTTAAACAGTTTATATTTAAATGTCTTATTGATCAATTAAAGTCGAAATCAGAATTGTAATATCCCTCGACGAACGACCAGACAAAAAATCTACACGTCTCTATTAAATCAATTCAAAGATAATTGCAAACTATTGTGCTGGTAATGGACCGAATGCGACGTTCCAAATCCTCGCGTCCATTGACCCACTATAAAAACCGTCCAATCGCTTGTCGGCAAGCGCAACAAATGTCACCTAAATAATTATCGAGGCTCAGCAAATGACTTACTTGCTTCGGTAGCGATGATTAGTGATGACCGTTTCGGCGTCGTCCGCAACACTAGTTTACCATTGTTTACCATTTATACTTGTTACACACTCACACACGCGAGCAACATCGGGAGAGGAGCGATGAGAAGGCGAGGGCGACTGCTGCCACACTGGGGACGAGGGGTGAATACAGGTATATCGGGAAATATGCTAGCCAGCAACCAATTGTCAGCGAACAGCACTGTGGACGATGGCAAAAACGGTGTCGCGGTTTCTGAAAGTTGGGCGACACGCGAACGAAACGCGCGCGGCTGTGTACGGCGGCGTCAGTCGAGGAATTGCCAGTGAAAAGTGCTCCGTGTACGTGCGTGGTGGTACGCTGTGTGTGCGTTTAACATAATAATAATGTAGAAGCGCCCGTTGCTTGGTTGCGCGCGCGCTTCTCTTCGGCCACACATACTCCGCGCTTATCGTACGGCGCGCTGTGCGTGTGTGTGTGTGTGTGTGTGCGACGGTGGAGGCCGCTCGACCGAACCGCCGTAGCTGTCGCCTGCATCGACCGCCAACAACCACGCGGTCGAGCGAAAATCGATTGTCGTCCCCCTCCAGGGATTGGCGGCGGAATCCGAGTTGGCGAACAGATAGCGTTCCGCCATGACCGATTGACCCCGGCTTTACTCAGCTAATTGGTCCCTGCTGTCTGCCCTCGCTAGATGCTGCCGTTTACCTCCGAAGGGGTCCTTTGGTGCACCGGACCAGTTAAGCCGGCCGGCCGGGGTACGCGAAAAATACACACATAGTCAATCTTCCGGCGTTACTTCGCTAAAAAACCAATGGCACTGTAGGTCTGCCCGTTTGCAATGTCGGCGACGTTTCCAATCGTGTTGGCGGTTACCGTGTTGGATTTTACATGAATTGTGCGAAAACTGTCCACTATTTTGATAAGTCAATGACCGTAAACATTGAAAACAACGTATTGTAATTGCCGGGAAACAAATGTAACACGTAGATAAACCGCATTAATTGGCCATTGTTGGTAAACATATGCGACACGCTTTGTTTATTCATAACGATAAAAAATAAAAATGTCGCGTATAAATTAAACGCCGCTATGGAATATTAATATTACTGCTAATTTTATAATAGTAGAAGTGCTGTTTCGACAATTGCTCATATCGTTTTTGTCATGTGCACAACTCAAACGCCTGTGGAAATATACGTGACGTTTTAACAATGTATCAAATTAAGACGTTTTCAATGCAAATTACTTGTTTTATGTTTTCCCTCGGTCATTAACGCGGATAACGTTAAAACGCAATTTATTAACTAGTTTGGGACGTAACTATGTGAAATAATTAATATTTTTCTTGTCAGTTTTAACTTGAAACAAATCTCGAGGTCACCGTATGATAGTAACACAAAAAACACAATGGTTTTAATTGTTGAACAACTTTTATCCAAAATAAATGATAATTCATTTTTAACCGGATACACCATTCATTGTTATTAGAGTATGTGCAAGTTCATGGAAAAATTCTAAAGAAATTTAAAAATTCGAGTGCCAAATTGCTATAGTTGTTTATTTTTGGTGAAAATTAGGCAAACAGTGATTTATCAAAAACATAAATAAAAATAAAATTTACAAAGATGCGATTTTTAAGGAACTTTACTCCATGATTATTTTTTTTTTTTAATGACCTTCCGCAAAAACATTTAACGCCTTGAACACATTAAGCACGCAATGCATCAGCTGTAATTACATCATAATGATTTTTTTACTACAGCACGTAATTATGAATTTCTGATTTTTAATCACCTGATGCAGATATTGCGTCATCATTTGGGCGCAAAATAATGTTATTCGACGGACAAATCGATTTTATTCAAACTGATTTACACTACTTCCATAAAAATTGTAAAAAAAAACTCTACATCCTTATTTAGTTTTCTATACGTTTTCGACCGAATAACATATCAAATGTTATTTTATAAATACATTAAGTAAATTTTGCGAATTAAAACAACTTGTCTTCAATTTATTTTCAGTTGTCTCTAGTAAATTTTTTAGTAGTTTATTGTAAAACCGTTTACAATAATTCAAATAAGGTACAATAAAGTTTTATGATATTTTAACTCTTATGATTACGCCGGCGGGCAATTACCATTTTGCATAGATAAATAATCTATTGCTACAGAGAAATATTATCACTTATGCAATTTAAATAACAAATGTCGCATTAGAGGTGCCACAATGGATTTTTGATAAATATAAAGATTTGATCAGAGTTACATGCGTTGGCTCAAATCCAGTAAAAAACTATCGGCATCAAGGACTAAGAATAATAAAAAATTTTATTTTAAAGAAATTTAGGAACTGTGCACAAGTTATTTTCAGATTAAGTCGATTTTATTCGATTTGTTCAAATTCGTCGACTTATGCCAATGTCTAATGTCTATTTCCAATCGTCGCGTGGGATATTTCATACAACCCGAACGATCTTCCAAATGGTTGCTAAAAAAATCACATAAAAAACCAAATCAGTCATAATTTATCTCCGAAAGTAATAGAAATTTTCTTCAAGTCTAGATTTTGACAAAATATCACTTAGAACCCAAACAAAATCCATAACAAACATGCAAATTTGCAATTGTAAATGTACTGACCCAACATATCCAACGTTTAAAAACTCAACTCGATTATTTCTACTTTATATATTGAAATAATTAAATTAAACTACCATTTTAGTTTATTATTATTATTAATCCTTTACATAATATTTAAAAAATGAAAATATACTATTTTTGTTAGGGGAGGATTTGAAATTCACATTCATTGTTATTCTGTGATTTTTAATTCTTGTACATTCTACAGTAAAAATTTAATTGTTTCTGATCAGTCTTCAATATTATTAAATAGAATAAATACATTACAGTACCTCTTTGAAGCTTGATAACGATAATATGAATGATGTATACAAAGTGAAACAGATCTAAATGACAACTTTAGATATAAATAAAATTTCACAATATTTTTTTAAACAATTTATGAAGAGTTCAAAAATAAAAACCCAGCACAGTTATGACGTGGCATAGTTGGATAAGTGTAATGGTATAAGACATTAATTAAAATCACAATCATAAAAAACGCTTCAATGCAAATCTTTAGTGTTTAATTTAAAAAAAATGGTGGGTTATTCCAAAAACTACATGATCTGTTATTTCCTTATTTATATCCTAATTACAAGTCTTATGATTTATAAGTGTAACATATAAATAAATAAATAAATGTATATTTATAATATATAAAGGGAAATGGTATTATTTTAAAAAAAAGTATGTCGAATAAAAAAGGTATATAAATAGTATTTATCATAAAAAAATTTTAATGATCCATTTATTTTTCAAAAAGTTGTAGCATTATAACATTAAAAATATTAAAAATAATTTTTTTACAATAATTTTATTTTTTTATTAATTTTGATGTCTGTTTTCACCGTAAAGACAAAATAAAGTCCGAATTTTTTTTTCCATAATAGTAGTATCTTACATAAGCTTTATTTATATATATATATAAAAGTGTCAGTATTTCGGGAAAACTTTCAAAAATTAAGTTGAAAAAGTTCTATTTTCTATATGCATTTTTTAGGTTTGAACACCCCTGTATTAAAGGAAATGGTCCAATTTAAATAAAAACTTTGTCGAATGAAAGAAGTATATAAATATTATTTTTCATAAAAANTTACCCACACAAAATTATGTTCAATATAAAATTTTAAAGCAATTGATTAGTGAAATGACGTTTTATTACATTCAAAAATGCCCAGTGCTACTAAATTTCTAAACAACAAGCTTTGTACACTTAGTTACATTTATATCAACAATAATTTTTTTTTAATTTAAAACTAAAACTATGAGCTACAAGTGATTAATTCTTATTATCAGGTTTGTGAATTATATGCATTTATACAATTCATCTGAACCACTTTAAAGGGTCCCAAATGTATGCAATTTTATCATAGTACTACACCCAGAGAAAAACCTCGATCTATATAATAAATTCATTGTTCAATTTGATAAATATATCATTACTATTAAATCAATGATATATTTATCAATATGATATTTTTTTTTCTTGTCTTGAACAATAATTATTTATAAGAATAGTTATTTTGTTCGTATTAATAAAACATTATCATAAACCCTTGATAAAATTTCTCTTTCAATTTTGATTGAGGTTTTTCTTTGGGTGTATATAGTAACGCAGAAATATTTTCATTTTAGGAGGAAATTTAGATTTCATCACCAAAACTATAACATCGAAAAACACATTACGAAGTTTTCAAGATAATAAAAATATTTTCTGACTGATAGTGTGTTTTAATTAACTTAACAAAACGCATATAATTCACAGCCCTACTTACTATTTTCTTAATAAACAAAATAGCGATTATTTCAAAAGTTAAATCTCAATTTTTGTAAATGATACAATAATAATCAGTTTACAACTTAATTTGTTTAAAAATAATGAATGTGCAAATATAGTAGAGTCATTGTTAGTATATTAGTTTAATTTAAGTGAACCTAAAACTAATTGGATACAATTTAATATCAATCACTTATAAGGGACTCGAACCCTCCCCNCAATTTAATATCAATCACTTATAAGGGACTCGAACCCTCCCCTTAAATAAAAAAGCTAATAGTAGACTTTGATTTCTTCACTCACAGTGATCGACTAATCAACTAGACAATTATTCAATCCAAAAATGTAGATCTAGTTACTCCTATGCTTCCCTCCGTTAAAATTATCCCAAATGTGCTTTCAAGTGTAATTACGCAATTGGTTTAGTGTTGAGTGTTGTTTAAAATCGGCGTTTTTTTACTGAATTATTGACCAAATACTTTTTATAATACGAATATTGACTGTAAATGAAATCAATATTTTACGTTAAAAGAAATAAAAAAAAAAAATCATAGACGTCACTCACGACACAATGACTGTAGTTTTTTTTTTAATTGTCCCGAATTAACTTGGCTAACAAGGTTTAAATTAAGTCTACGTTGTGTCTAGTTTCTTTATAATATGATGATTGAAAAAATTACTTATTTTAACTACTTATTTCGATAGACAATTAATTACTTGCTCAATAATATCGGTACATTTAGCATTACTGAATTATTTATCTTTTAGTCGGAAAATAATGTTTTTCTCCCATTGACCTTGACCCTCGCACATGTTTTGCGACCTCCCGGCCAATGTTACTCGCTTAAAAATAATATTTTCTTCAGATTCATTATTTACACAAGCGATACAAATATTGCATTATCGTGTGTTTATCGGTTCAATTAAGGCAATAACATGTAAATCATCTTTGAGAAGGTTACCGAGGTATTAAAACCGGTTAACAATCACAATTGATAATAATGTCAATGATAATACTTAGGACTTCATTTATTACAACTGTTATTTGTTAGTGCATTGATGTCGTTGTACGACAGCTGTTGCTTAATAATTGAAACAATTGTCTAACCGAACTCAAATGCTGAACAAAGTACAATTTCGAGTAGTAACCTCGTACACAATTGTCTGTATCGTATTAATAACAGTAATATTAGCATTTATGGAATTTGCAGGCGTAAAGTGACCATGGTCCATTATCGTTGGAAGTCCATATTTTCGGTGATTTTGGCCGTATTCTTGATGGGTCGACCAGCGAAAACCGCCAACGTCCTAGCCGTATTTCCTTACAATGCCCACAGTCATTTTACCATGGCCGCTCCGATTATCGAAGCGTTAACCGACCGTGGCCATCGAGTGACAGTGATCAGCCCGTTCCCGCGACGCAACCCGCAACCGAATTACATCGACATCGATATATCGGACGTGCTGCCACCAGTTATCAGTCAAATGAACGTCACGGAAGATTGGACGGATCCGGTTACCGGGTTGAAGAACTTGTGCCACATGAACTACATGGTGTGCGAGACTGCGTTTGCCCATCCAAAAGTGTTGGAGTTAATCAAAAGTCCTTCAAAAGGAGTTTTCGACGCGGTCTTTACTGAGGTATTCTCCTCGGATTGTTTTGCTGCATTTGCGCACAAGTTCGGGGCACCGTTGATTTCGATACGCGCCGCCGAAGCGTCACCTCATGTCAACGAACGAGCGGCCAACCCACAGAATCCGGCTTATCTCATAAACCATTTACTTACTTTTTGGCCGCCATTGACGTTTTTTGAACGTTTGGTCAACGCTGCGGCCACTTATCTTGGAGCGTTTGGATTCCACGTGTTTTCCGACGGACCGTCAACTGAACTGGTCCGCCGGTACTTCGGAGTCGACACGCCACCGGTGTCGGAAATCGTCAAACACACTTCTCTCATACTAGTCAACAGCCATCATTCGCTCTTGCAGCCAAGGCCCTTTGTACCGAATGTTGTTGAAGTCGGAGGAGTGCACATTAGAGACACGTCTAATACAACTAACGTAAGAAACACTTTATAATTCTTTGTTCGCTTTTATTTTAAATTGTTGATTAGATTTATTGTAAAAGTTAATTGTCGATTTTAAATTTAGAAATCGAGTCTATAAAAGTCTCAGTCGCGAGTAGACATCTGGGAAAATATAAATAAGTTTCAATTAATGTGTAAACTTACTAATTAACTGATCTAAATTTACCATTGATTCAGGAATGGACAGAGTACTGTGATCAGTGTAGCCAAGGTGTAGTGTATGTATCATTCGGTTCTTTACTGAAAGGCAATTCTTTTCCGGAAAATGTTAAAAATTCATTTGTAAAAGCTTTTGATAAGCTTCCATACTGCGTTCTTTGGAAGTACGAAGGTGATGATATCAATTCAGAACGCATAAATAGGTCTAAATGGATGCCTCAGCAAAGTATTCTCAGTGAGAAACAATTAATTTATCTTTATCTTAATAAATATTTATCCAGTATACTTTTTGTTTTGCATATCAAATAGGTCATAAAAATGTAAAAGTATTCATAACTCACGGTGGCCTGATGGGAGTCATGGAAGCTGTTCACTTTGGAGTTCCGATGATTGGTATTCCTGTGTTTGGTGATCAACCAGCTAACATTGCTAAATGCATTGAAAAAGGTGTTGCTATTGGATTGGACTATCACAAAATTAATGAACATTTGTTAATTGACAGCATTCAAACAATTATTAAAGACAAAAAGTAAAAAATTATTATTAATCTTGTCCAATTACTTGATTTAGAAATTCGGAAGTTTATCTTTTCTCCAAACATTAAATTATTAAAGTTGAACTTTAATAATAATACTATGTATCGAAAACTATAAAAAATAATGTTAAACTCAACTATAAATCTTAAGTATTGTTAATTTATTTTAGATACCAATTAAATTCCAAAGAATTGTCAAACAGATTTCGAGATAGGCCAACAAATCCTCTAGACACAGCTATATATTGGACAGAGTACATTCTTAAACATAACCAACCAGTTAAAACAATTTCTCCGGCTGCAAGCATGACATATTACCAAGTGTATCAACTAGATATAGTCTTATTAATTTCAATGACCTTTATATTGTTAATATACTTTATGTTTAAAATTAAGACGATATTTAAAAAATTGATAAAATTATGAGTAAAATTTAAGCTATATTTGTGATAAATTGAAATTATTTTATTATACGTATTATTTTTTATGTAAAAAAAGTAGTCTTATTAAAATCTATATTTTAATTTTAAATAATTCATTTCACGAATACCAAGTAAAAAAATTATTTCTCCATACAATCCATAATAACTAATAAAAAAAAATGAACATTAGTAAAGCTTAAAATGTTACACAAATATTAACATTAAAATAAGCATACATTTGTATGCTACCCAGAAGTAACACCTTAAAACATTCCCAGGATGACCTATTTTATCAGTAGAGATAAAAAAAAATTTTATTTACTTGTAAATTCAATTTTTTTAAATTAAACTATAAGAACAAACTAAGAGTATAAAATACTCCAAAAATTGATCTATGATAATGAAAATAATATTAAATTAAAAATAGTTTTTCATGGCTTTGGTAGCTTCCATTATTTTACAATACTTAATTATTAAGATACATGCAAAAAATTGATCAAAATAAATACATGTCACAAACTGATTTTATTTATTTTACATGCCAAGTTTTTAAATATGAAGCATGAACTATTGAGAAAATATGCATAATCATCTCATAATATCCTCTTACATGAGTGATTAAAATATCAAAATAATGAAATAAATATTTTATTAAATTTTTTAAGCTAAATAACTAAATTTATTGATTAAATTATTTTGTTTAAATTTATGAAATAAAACTAATCCAAATTTTAATAAAATACTTCATTTTATTCATTAATGAATAAAGTTTATAAGTTTTAAATTATTTTAGTTTTTTTAAGTTACATTTAATATAAAACTGACTTTCTCAAAACTAAAAAAAACATATTAGGTCACTTTTGGAATAAGGGTAATAAATCTCTTGAATTTTAATTTTATGTTTCTAACCTAAATGAAAATTGTATGTAAAACGCATAAAAATTCAACACAAACATATGCATATAAAAATATTTATGAGATGAGTTCGTTTGTAAAGTATACTTGCTAAAACAATATTTTCATAATAATTTATTTTATAATAGTAAAATAGTTTTTCTAGAAATAAAAAAAAGATTAAATTAAAATTAGACTTGAAGTGTTATAAATTAATCAGTAATTACTAGTTTCAAATCACTTCATCTTAAAGCGAGGATAAAACATTTTACCAATATACTTTCTATAAATTTAAATCACTTCTTTTTTCTATAACTCATAATATTTATTTAATTATATTATAAAATATTATAATTCATCAATAATTTTTAATTATATAAGAATAATGATTTATTTAAAAAATTTAACAAATAGTATATTATTAGTAAAATTTTCAAATTATTTTATCACATTGCCAATAACACAAATATTGAATATGTAAAAATATTACAGCATAAGTTTTCTATAATTATATATAATTGTTTTAGATTAATTCATAAATTGATAATGATTATATAATACTATAGTTCATGTAAATGACTTATTTATACATTTCATTTTTGCTCATCCAATTTTCAATTTCTTCTATTCTAAAATTTTAAAAGCCAAAATAATTAATTATTTGATAAACTATTGAATTAAGAGTAATTAACATACGTTCTTGGGACTGGAGTATAATTTTCAACTCCATTTTCAGTAACAAACACATTATCTTCAATGCGAACACCACCAACAACTTTGAAACGCTCAAGTACTTCTTGATTTATATATTTTGCTAAATTTGGATTTTCAAGAGCACTTTTTAAAACCTATATAATTAAACATAATAATTTTTTTGTGTTTAACATATGACTATTATAACATAAATAATTTACTGGTTTAATAAAATAACACCCTGGCTCAATAGTAATCGCCATTCCAGCTTTTAATTTTCTTGCCATTCTCAAAGCTTTAACACCTGGCTGTAATGGACGTTCTGGACATCCTTCTAAATAACCTCCAACATCATGTACATCAAGTCCTAATAAATGTCCAAGACCATGAGGTTGAAAAACTGCTGCAAGTCCAGCATCATACATTTCATCAACATCTCCTTGAAGTAAATTAATGTCAAGCAGTCCTTTTAACATAACTTTATTTGCAAGAATATGCATTTCAATCCAACATATACCTAAATCATAAAAATATAAATTATATTAATTTGAATGTGTTGAAGCTTAATGGATTGATGTACTATTTAAAATATTTCTAGATGTATCCATGTGTTGAGTTAAATCAATTATATTTATTTATAGAATGAGTTGTAAATTTTAAAGCTACATAATTAATAAATTATGTAAAGTAACATTAATGCAAATAAACAAACATTGTTAACCTGGCTTTATTGATTTCATAACTGTTTGATTTGCTGCAAGTACAATATTATAAATAGAACGTTGATCATCAGAAAATTTCCCATTAGCTGGAAATGTAACTGTAACATCAGCTGTATAACCACAATAAGATGCACCCATATCAAAAAGACTAAAATATGTGACATAAAGGTAAATATGATTGAATAATAGACAAATTAATTAAAAAATTTACCAAAGATCACCATCACATATTTTCTTGGCATTTGGTTCAGTAGCATGTCCATAGTGTAAAATAGCATTGCTTAACCCGGAACAACATATATTATTGTATCCAACATGTCTACATCCTCCAACATAATAAACATAGTGTAAAAAGTTTGCTTCACATTGGTACTCAAACATTCCAGGTTTACATTTTGACATAACTGATTTGTGAGCATTACAAGAAACCTTAGTAGCATATCTCATGACTTCTTTCTCATATTCAGTTTTAATTACCCGACTATAAAATTATAACTTAATATTACTGAAACTAGATAAAATATATTACTTAAAACATTGAAATACAAAATTATTGTTTCATTTAATGACTCCTGGTTAAAAAATTAACTTAGTACTAAATTTAATACAAATGAATAAATGAAAAATAGAAGAATGACCAATTAAAAATTTTTAAATAATTTGATACTTTTAATATTATTTTAAATACTTGTAATAATTATTACATTAATTTAAGACTGTATGTTTGATCAAAATGATATTATAATTATTTAATTAAATTTGATGTTCTATATTTTTGATTTGAAAAATAAGTTTAATGGACTATAAAGTTATAAATTTATTAAAAGACATTAAAATATCTCGAACATATTTACAAGAATAATGTCAAATGTTCCTAACAAAAAACAATATTTGAAATGAATACTACTAGTGCTTACAGCTCTATCTAGTTTCATTGTATAAAATGACGACCATTATCTATTTACCTTAAAATAGATAACACTATCATGCATGTTATTTCTCAATATTTTGCAACACAATATATATAAATTTATATACATATACATATATGTGTTTGTATATATGTAAGTTACACCATGTATAAATTCAAATAATAATATCTGTAAAACTTAAAAAATCAAAAAATTACATCACTAAAATTTCTGTTAACATTATTTACTGTTATAGGGAGAAAATGTCAAGGATAGTCCTCCAAAATGTGAATATTAACAAAGTAAGTTTGTTCAATTTACTAAGACATTTAAATACTGCTAAAAACCAAAACCTGAAATATAAATCAAGCAAATTAGGACATACCTCTGTCCTGATTCAAGAAGGTAATGAAATAAGAGAACTACCCTTAATTGTACGTAATGTATGTGGTAACGATATTTGTACTGACAGTGATTGTACAAGTGAAATCAACTCAAATACTATGAACCTTATAGACAAATTGAAAGATTTCAATTCTGAGAGCGACCGCAAAAAAGCTGAAGAAGAAATTGTAGATGTTATTAGAGGTTTTAAAAAATGCTCATCAGTTAAATCACTAATAGATTTATTAGAAATAGTTATGTTGGATGAAATAACACCTGCAGTAGCACTATGTGCATTAAAAAAAATTGTTGAACTAGAAAATTTCAAATTTCATGTAGCAACTTATAGAGTTTCGTCGTTTTTAGAAACTAGGACCAATATTGATTATACAAAAACAACTATTTTACACAAATTATTGCAAATAATTTCAAACGGAGATGATCAAAATTCTGTTGTAGAGGCATTAGAACTAATACCTCTTGATCAAGTTAAAGTCTTGCCATCAGATGTATATAAAAATATATTATCACAAGAAATTTTATGTAGAGTAACAGAAAGTAAATTAAATATAAATGAATTATGCAGATCAATTGATACATTTTCAAAATTAAATGACTTTAAAAAAGCAGATCAGCTATGGGTAGGAATAATGGACAAAAATAGTCAAATTGACGAAAGCAATATTATAACAGTGTTTAGAATAATGTATCTATTGAAAAAAAGTAGAAAAACTATAATGAATATGTTAGAAAGAAGATTTCAAGATTTTTGGCACAAATTAAATGTTGATGAATTAATAGAAATAATATACACAATGAAATTAACAAAATGTGTTTCAATTAAAATTTTAGAAATTATATCTAGATGGATAAACACTAATATTCACACGATTAGTGAAACAAATCTAACTTCAATAGTTATAGAACTAAATCAAATAGGTTATGTTGACATTGGTATTGTAAAGGCTTTAGAAAGATATGTTAAAGCCAAACATAATGCAATTAAAAATCCATCACTTTTAGTTGAAATTATGAAATACAGTTCAAAATTCAACATACAATCAGAGAAAATATTTGATGGTTGTGCTAAATACTTAGTAAATTTTAATCAACAATTAAATCCTTCACAAATAAGAGATATTTTTTGGCCTTTTGGCCAGTTAAATTATAAGCCAAAATGTCCAATAAATTTTTGGAAAACTATAGAAAATATTATGAATAAAGAATTTTTTAATTTTAAATCACATGAAACCTTGGATATGCTAATAGCATGTGTTTTCCTTGAAAAACATCCATTAAACTTTATTCATAGAGTGTTTAACCCTAGTTTTTTACAGCAGTTATATGATGAAGGAGGACAAATAGATCACACTAAAATGAAATTGAAACTTATTGATCAATGTATGACACTCGAGTGTAAGCATTTCCAAGGACCAGTCTTACCAAGGGATAAATCTGCTAAAAGTATTTGGATAGATTTTAGAATAAAAAAAGTAATTAAATATGTTAGTAATAATATTGAACATGTATTTAAAGACTTTAATATTTCTTACTCTATATTTTTAAGTCAATTGCCTATTATGAGCATTTATTTCATTGATGCTTTGGTACATCCCAAAAATAGTGAAATTAACTATAAATACATAAATTTTAAAGAATATCCTGGGTTGTGTTCTGCCATTATTATACATTTACCAGAACATTATTGTTGGGAGAGTGAAAATTTAATTGGCATGGAAGAAACAAGAATTCGTCATTTCAGAAAAATTGGATTAAATGTTATAACTATGAACTATAACAAATTAAATGAACTTAAGTATCCAGCTGAAATAACTGAGTATATTTTTGATCGATACAAAAATATGTTAGGTCCACTCTAATTATATACATAAGTAATAAATATGTCAACTTACCATTCTGATATTATATTATATAGTATTTTATTGTTTACGTCAAATCTGTTGAATAAATTTCAATACATTAAATTTATATAAATTATATGTGTTGTATAACTCACTTTTCTATGCCATCAAAATGAGCTTCTTTCACTGTTAATCCACTATCAGAATTAACTCCAGTCTAAAAAATATATATAATTTAACCAATATCAGAATTTCAAATTTTTTTATATTATATATAATTTTCTTATATATATACTAACACATATCTTATATCTAATTTCCTCCTTCCTAATTTTTTTTTATGTAACAATCCTTATTATATGTACAGTTTTTCTGTGATTTCTCGGGAGCTAATTTTAAAATTTACGCCTATGCTACTTTATTGCAAATATTTCACAATAGTCTAAAAGGACACTTACTGGTGTTGTATCAGTTAATTTTTATACACTATCGAATTTCCAAATAGCATATATTTCATTTCAAGTAAAACAAAAATTAAAAGGCTCTATGCAAAAACAAGATAACTCCATTTTTTTTTCAAATTACATTTTAATGGTTCTAAATTAAGATTAAAATGACGAATACATTTAACCAAGGGAAAAATAGTTACAATGAATAAGTTAAAAAATTATCTTTTTTTTTTTAAATTTACTAGTAGTTTTTTTCAGTTTCCTGAAAATTAAAAAAAAGTGAGTTGTCTTGTTTTTCTATAGAGCCCTTCCATTTATCTAGTATTAAAGAGTAGCAGTAGAATTGTTATTCTAAAGCAAATATTTGAGACACTTATCAACACTTCATCCTCCAATTTAAACAGGAGAAAATAATATCCTAAATTAGGTGTACAGTAATTGTAACCAAGATGTGTATTTATTGACTAAAAAATACAAGAACATTTATTATAGAGATAAATGAAACTTTCTACAGTTAAATTTTGTTGAACTAATAAAAAAATATAGTTTTTTCGTTCAACTATCTAACAAAATTGATTTTTTATCAAACCGTTATTTTATTAAAAAAAAAAAAGAATTTTCAAAAGTTTTTAATTTTTAACAAATAAGTATTTTATTATTTGGATAAGAGCATCATCGAATCAATAAAATAACCCATAATCATATTATTTGACATTATTTAAAAATAAAAATTCAATTTTTTTTCAATAAGATAAAATAAACATATTAGTTTAAGACTTACAAGCAATTCAAGATTAAAATATTATACAAGAGGTTGAATAATCAATCATAAAAATACTACTTTGAATTCATCTAAAGAAAATCAAATTTCAATTAAATTTAATCTTTAAACTGAAAAATCTTTTAAAAAAATACAATGAAAACGAAACTTAATAATAGAAAAATAAATTATTGATTTAAATACTAAAATATTTGAATAATATTATCATAAATGATGAAAATTTTGTTATTGAATTTTGTAATTTTTGTTATTGAATGCGATATGAGGACGACTGATGTGAGCGTACACGATGTGGGAGATCGTGTCAAGTGGAAGTTTAGGATAAGGGTGACCGACCCCAAGTAGTAGGGATTATGGCAAGGGAAAAGAAGAAGAAGAATTTTGTCGTAAATACATAAATATTCTTTATAATGTTTACATCATTTCATGTTTGAAGAACATATTTACTGTTCACAGATGTATTCAATATATAGAACAATATATTACAGACTACATGAAAACTATTCATTTTCATATAGTCAGTGATAATTGCAGAAAAATAATAGCTTGCAAACAAATTCTTAATGAAAATTGAAATGTCTATATAATAAAACGTAGTTAGATATTACAGTCCACTAATTTTAAAGATATACAAACGCATCAAAGAAGTGATTGCACGACATATCGACGAAAATTAATAAGGTTAGTGTTTGTTTTATATTAATCTATGCGACTGTCAAAGAATTCCATAATGTGCTCAATACAAACAAAAAAATAAAACGATTGAGAATAGATAAATAACGTGTTATCTAGTGCATAGTGCAAATATATTTTTAGACATTTGAGCAAAGAAGAAAAAGTATTTATCGAACGATTTTTTTCTCTGTGGTCAATGAAATACGTCAGATAACTATTTAATTCAAATAAGTTTAACTAGATTTATTTATAATTAAGCACACAAAAAAAAATCAATTAGAACTATTCGAAAGCAATGCATGATCTAGCAATTTGATGATTAGTTGCGTAAGAAATTTAAATAGGACATAAATCGACTGTTTCAGTGTAAATAATCTGTATACGCAACAACAACAACAACAACAATGTAAATAGTTAAAAACTACTTTTGTAACTAGTCATATTATTGTTATTATTGTTGAAGTCAATAAAAAAGGTGATAACGATTGTGTCATCATATGCCATTGGTAAACAGTTATGGCTGAAATCAGAATATTAGTAAACAACAAAGTTATTATCACTGGACATGATTTGTTTTGAACGCCTCGAATGCACTACGTAATAGAATAAAGTTATAATTAGCCAACTAAATTGTGTAAACGTTTGAAAATTAACTGCGTTGAGTACATAAGCATGTAAAAATTTAATGCACTTCGTTTTGAAATGTCATTTGATGATTATTCTTTATAGATAACAATCTTATAAATTAAAATTGAACTTGCAGGTCCCATGTTTCTATTTTAGAATAGATAATACACTTTTCAATAATGTATTATCCTGCGACACTATTTTACTCAACTTAAATATTTTTTTTTTGACTATGTGCAATTATTCAACGTGAAAATATAAAAAAAATCTAGTAATCTCAGTAAATTTGTATCAACTAATATCATAATCACTCAAATTCACAGTTAAGTTTATACTTAATATATCAAATATTAACGTCACTCAGTTAATACTTGACAAATTCGTTAAAAACATTTTAATCAATAATCTATCATCAAATAAAAATATCTATTAAATAAAATGCATAGGAAATATTAATCGAAATTAGCAAACATTACATAAATATTTTTAATATTTATAAAAACCAATATGTTCTGAAAATACTTTAACACTTTTTAACATGCAAAAATATCTTTGAACTATATTCTAAAAACGACTCAACCTATAAATTAGTTATTACTCGTACTAAATTTTATCTATACATAAATTTAAACCAAAAAATATTCAATGATGTCCATACATAATTAAGCAACTTATTATTTACATTTTAACCTGGTAACGATGCGCGACCAAATAAAACACAAGTCAAATTAAAACTTGCAAATCTCACACAAGTCTAATTACGCGCAACAAATACTCACCAGCATTAATTATCGTACTCTACTAGTCGTGCATCTCAATGGTCAATAATCAATTATAAGATATACTTTACAAAATTAGGAAGAACAGATTCATATTAAAGTTTTAACGTAAATCTATTTGAAACCCTTTCCACTATAATAAGCTAACAGAAAGAATTTTAATTTAGCTGTATAAATTAAATCTCTATAGGATCATTTAATAAATATGTAGGATGCAATTTTTTCCTTGAAATCATCTCTAAACGTTTCTTAGATAATTTCAAATGAAATAGCACTGATTTCTTCAGAAATGTTAAAAAAGGAATAGTAACCAATATCACTTTAGGTTTCAAAACATCATATATTTTGTACGCACATTAGTTACCAGTTTATAGTTACAATTATTGATATTAAAATGTTTAATTAACGTTTGTAGTAACTAGAACACGGTTATTATTATTACACGTGTGTTTTGTTTATTATGTTTGGCAATTATTATCCTATAGTTATAAGGTTAACTTTTAAAGAAAACTTTACATTTCAAGAACCATTTACAAATCAAATATAAATTAATTTTACTACATTTAATTCATTAAATTTATTTAAAATCTATGCATAATCATATGATCACAAATTATTATTTTAATTTTCATATAATTTTTAGTTTGTAAAAAAAATTATTATATTTTTTACAAAAATTTAGAAAGAAAGAACGAGGCTTTCTAATTTACCATTTTTTTATGTGTAAAATTATGACATTTTAAGAGTTAACACAACGGTGTGATATATAAATAATCAAACTACGTTTTATTAAACTAGTGAAGTTCATATTTATTCATATGATAAATATGTTGCCTGTTAAAATATTTGCAAACCAAAAGGTAGAAAATACTATTATAGTCAATGCAACAAATAGCTTAGTATATTTATACAACCATTTGTCAATTGTAATAAATTAAATAGTCTGGATAGTTTATGAATTTATTGCTAATAAGAAAGATTAGAATTGAGCAACATTTTTAATTTAGTAATATATTAATTCAGGAAATTTAATATGTACACATAATAATATATAATTTTTTAACCATTTGATCATGTTTAATGTCTTTTCTAAAAGTTATTGCTTGTGCCAATGAAGATGGTAAACTTACATTGCCCAAAAACTGAGAACCTACGCACCGAGACATATTGTAGTCTTTTAAAAAGTTTAGTTATTAAATTATTAAAATAAATTTTAAAACTACGCATGTAACGAGCAAAATAATTTTAATCCTGTTTTAAATTATTTATGGTTGCAAATAAAATTGTATAGATAAATCGAAAACTATTACTTACCAAAGTCAACAAAACTGATGGTTTCAATAATTCCAATGTTTCAGCGAGCTAGAAAATATTTATAAACAAATATAAAAATAATTAGAAAACTTTATATAAAATAATTTGTTTTATTCTCATTATATAATCAGTACACATTCTTTTATAAGAACTCATAAAAAATTTATTTTCATATTTTTAAATTTCCGTCATAATTTTAAGCTTTGAACCGTATAAACCAAAAAATACTCTATAAATCTAAAAATGTTTCCCCACACTTATACCTAGAAATTATCAGCTATTTAAGTTAGAAGATCTTGTTATAATCTCTAAAAAACGACAATTAAATCAAGAAACTTTTTCCTGGTAACCTCTACACTATAAAATGACTCATATTTCCCATAAGTGTGAGACAATTTTTTTTCAATAAATCATTATAGCCTATTCTATCGAATGTTTTTCAATACCTTTTTCGAACGATCACTTATTTCGTTAGAAAATTTTAAATTTTGAAACAAGTTAATATTTGAATAATTTGAACAATTCAAAATTTGTCAAGCTAATGAAGTACGTGTTTTTTAATTATAATTCTCATTAAGGCGGATATTGACTTCCATTAAACCATTGAATCTGCCATGACTAAAAAACATTTTAGTAAAAGCAGAATATAATAATTATATTCTGGATATGAAGCGCTATCTTTAGAAAAATTTACCATTATTTAAGAGTGAAAATACAAATTGTATATGATTAGCGTTGATAATAGTAAAATTGTTCTCGAAATACGTATCCGCAAGTTTTTAATCATTTTTGTGGCTTTTTAAATAAGATATTTTTTTATATTTTTTAGTTTTCAATAATATTTTAAATTTAAAATTATACTCAAGTTGTGCAATTATAATCATAATTATTGAAAAAAAACTTTTTACGATAGCACGACTACTAATGTCCTTTTACAATTAGATAATAACTCATCATATCAAAATCAACTCTTAACAAACGTTTAATTAACCCTTATCAACATTGTTATCACAAAAAGTATTTTTTACAAACTTTTAAAACAAACTATTGATATCCAAAATTGTACGCTAATAACAAAAGATTTAGACAAACGGATCATCGATGAACAGTTATTTAGATTTTCATGTAACTCTTGTTCATTTTTTCTCTAAATAAACACTATCAGCAATTCTAAAAGAATTAATATACATTCAAACTCATCCAATATTAGAAATAATATTTATGTATACAAAAGGAAAACATTCCAGGTCGAATCTCCGGATCCCACGATTTTGGCACCTAAACACAAACAAAATTAAGGATAAAAATCAATAAAATTCTTAGTTTAAACCCACCACGAAAAGGCGTACTTTGTAAAATCAAGATACTCAATTCAGCCTATCTGCAATACTACATATAAATGTTTATACAGGAGGGGAGTTGAATATTCTAAAAACCTTCGATAAATTGTCACCTATGAAAACCAAATAGTAATGTACACGATTGAAAGTCTACTCAATTCTCTTGGTGTTTACATTAGTTTCCAAAATATACAGTTCTTAGGTTAAATTTATTTTTTAAAGAACATAAAAAAACATCGATAACTACAACGGATTTAATAGCATTTTATTACATCAATTAAATGTATGCAATATCTAAAAGTTAAAGTCATTAACCGAACTTGTGTACTAGTTTATTGATGTATTTTTATTTATCATTAAAAAAATTAATAATAAAACAAAACATGCAACAAATCTAAACAGATATAAGCAACACTCGTATTGTTATAAAAAATTAATCTGTTCGCAATAACATTTTTTTTTTATCATACAATTCCTAGAAAAAATTATTTGAAAGTTGCAATTACAAAAAAATGAATTAAATTGAATAATACAATGTATAAATCACTCAAAAAATAAAATATATATGATATTATATCCAGTTGACTTTCACATATCTTTTTTTTTTTGACAACAAAATGTATAATATTTTCAACAATTTGAATCAACAATGATTGATTAAAGAGAATATCTTATTTTAAACATTTTTAACTAAAAAATAAAATAAATTTATAACAATTTAGATTAATAATCTTTTTATTTTATTAAAAAGAAAACCATGATTTTATGTTATTGTACTTGTATAAATTTAATTGAATATCAAATCACGTATAAAAACTCAATGATTATGAGGTTTTTTTATTATGTCTAAAAATATTGTCAATATTAGCCACCATGATAAAAAATTAATATGCTAATTTTTTATTTTTAAGTAATAATATTTTCAAAAATTGAACTTTTTATAAGAATGATTTTACTAAGAGAACGCCACGTCGACATAAATTTAAACGAAAAGTCACCTAAAGGTCATACAGTTCTAGTTGCTATTGAAAATATAAACTATAATGTCAGAAATATTATAGTTAAATTGTGTAAATTTATATAGAAATATTTTTAAGGAGAGGAAAAGTTAAGTTTTCCTAAAAATTTTATTCGAATGCACTTATGCAAGTCAGATTTTTTTAGATGAAGAAAACTCGATATTATATTCTTGGTGTATAACATAGTTTTTAATTGTAGGCAATATCAATTTAGATCGAACCTTATAATCGATCAATATAATAGAGAATAATAGATCAATAAAATAAAGACTATAAAAAGTAAAAAATCTTTTAGATCCTGTGTAAAATGATTAAGCATTTCTGATCAATACGGCAATAATTTGCCTTCATTGTTCATTATTAATACATTAATATAAGTTTATAAGCAACTTAATTTAAAAAAACTATAAACTTTTTTACTGACTTTGATTTACAAGACTTTTCTGTGAGTCTGTGTATATGTATACATATATGTGTTAATGGAGATAACCACCTACTAAATAAGATAATGAATATTCTCACACCGCAATTAAGCAATATTAAGATTACCAAGATTTAAAAAAAAATAATTGTAACTTAAAACAGACAGTTATTTAATTGGTAGACTATATGAACATCTTGTATATGTTTATAAATAATCAACATGACTTTTCTGTTATTTAAAATAAAAAACAGTTAAATAAAATGAAATTTCCTAACGATTTAATAACTAAAGAAAGTTTTTAACCAAAGTGTCCTGAAATTGGTAATAGAAATCTTCCGTAAAAATATGTGGATATTAAAAGTTTTCAATAATTCAAAAACATTATTTGATGCCTTCTTTAAAAAGAAAACGAATTTACAATTTTTCCTATGTCAGCAAAATTTAAATTATGTTTTGTTTAGAGAAAGTTATAATTATATATATATATATATTATTTACGTTATTTATTTCAGTTCTAATCTTTTTTTTAATAAGATAAATAATATAATCTATTATGTATACGCAAGTACTTGGTTTAAATTGCACGCACAATTACATTTACTATGCAGTATAATTAGATAAACCTAATAATGTATACANTTGCACGCACAATTACATTTACTATGCAGTATAATTAGATAAACCTAATAAGTATACACTTATTAAAATGATATATCCCACAAAATTTTTAATTATTTAAATGACCTCATGCTTATTACATGTTATGAAAAATTATATTTTAAAAATACTGCTGTTTCTTGTAATTTCAATCCGATTTTTGGATTTCTCAAATCACTTTTATCAGTCCAACTCAATTCAAAAATCTTTATTTATAATTCATCCGAGCCGATTCCGCTATTCTTGAAACAACCTGACTATTCGAGCATTAGGAAAAATATGGTCAGATCTAATACAACCCGACTTTGGATCGGAATGGATTTGATCGGTTCTAAATATGTAGCAAGGACGTGTATTAAAATGTTTATAACTCAATAAGTACTTATCCTAAAGTTGATATCGACCATCAAAGTTTTTTTTAATTACTAAAAAAAATAATTATGCTGAAAAAATAAAAATATATTTTTATTCTTATTTGAGAAAATAATAAGATATATGATTTGCATTTAGTGTAAGAATGTAAAATTGCATTTGATTATTTAATCAAAAGTTATAAGAATTCTCAATTTGATTAGGTTTGCCTGTATATATATAGTGTGCCTAACCATGTTTTGATGACTTAGTCCAGTAAATATTTTGTGTAACTTTTTTTTAAACAATTTTTAAAATTTAGAATTACGTTAAAAGCATAATTTTTATTATTCGTCTCTAATAAAAAATAAATACATATAATTTTTTTTTAATTTTCTAAAGATAAAAAATTATTTTTTTAAATTAATAAAAATAAATAATAAAAAATATGTTTTCAACATAGTCGAAAACTTAAAATTGTTTTAAAAAGAAAATAAAGCAAAATATTCCATAAATCAAAAGTTGTTAAATACGATAAAACTTGCTGGTACACTGTATGTATATATATATTTTTAGATATCAAGTTTCAATGAACCTTATGATTACAATTCAATTTTTTATTTCGTCTACATTTAAAAGAATAACATTAATGATAAGATTTTATACTCAAATTTGTAAAATATTATTTTTCCACATATAGTTTTTAAAAAACTAGCGAAATATTTAACATAAACTAAAAATAAGATTATTAAGTAAAATAATATTGTAATAAATGAATTATTAAAAAAACTAAATAGGTGATAAAATAAGAAACACTTATTTTAACAATAGTTAGAACCTCTTTAGTCAGGGGTACACATTCAACACAACTATCTATGCCGTTTAATATTTGCTAGTGACTATAACAAACTACAACAAAAGCTCAATATTGCAAATGAATCTTTAAATTATATTAAGTTAAAAATATACATTTCTATTGTCACTCGTATCATATGTAAAACAAAAAACAAAACTGGGCATCTGTCCTAAAATAAAAAATCGCACATGTTATAACAGGTGCTATTTTTAAAAAAATTTTTTCTTCCACACTTACAAAATTTACACTTTCAAATCCTCGGCTTTTCATGAATATACACTAAAATACACTAAAAATTACGACGCACAATATATTTTATGCAATACGCCAATAAAACTTTATTATTATTACCTTGTCCGTATAGTACACGTAATCTGCTTGGTATCGTTGTTTATATTCATTTAACTCCAGTGGAATTCCCATCCAAACATAATGTTCCTCTGGAATCCTGGAGAAAAATAGATGCACTTTGCCGGTAGACACTTGCAAAAGACCATAGCTATCCGGTTCGCTAACCCCGAAAGTCCATTGAAAATAAGATTCCTAATAATAAGTAGACACAGTTCAGTTAAAAATTCAATTTATTTTTATTAAAAACGAAAATAAAAAAAATACAGTATAGTATATAAAACTGCATGATTAAATTTATGTATATTAAGGTATAATGTCTTTTTTTTTTTATGAAAATTACATTTTGGTACAATGTTTAATTACGCCAAAGTAGATTTTAAGTATTAGCATTTGTTATGTATTACATTTTATCAAAATAGTATATAACTTAAAGTTTTGCATATTTTTAACAAATAAAATATTCAATAATTAAATGAAAATAAAATGTTCATCGCCAGAAATTTTGAGCTAAAAAATATGAACGTAATCGTCATTATCAAATATATTTATAGACTTACATTCTTTACTAGTCACTCTTTTTATACAACGGAAAATGTTAACCATGTTCTATAGCACAATTAAATTTAAAGGTTATGCTTTGTTTTATTTTAATATTGAATACCTTATAGTAAAAAGTAATAAAAATACAGGAGATAAAAAATTATAAAATAAGTTTTTAATAAAGAATTACTTTTTGTAATCGTTTTGAAATAATTATCTTTTAAGTTTTATTTATATAATATAAATAATAGCAACACTAATGTTAACAGAAATTTATTTTATAATTTCCAATTTCAACTAGTAAACACATTAGGTGTAGAATATAATTAATAAGTTTTAATCAAATTATATTTAATGCTATTGCTACACTGATTACATTGATTATTATTGTTTATTCATTTTAATAATTTTAATTGAGTTAAGGAATTAATAATTTAAACAAAAATCATGAAATATTAACCTTATTATCTCACAGTATATAAGAAATTTTGGATACTACGCAAAGTATGAATTCTTACCAAAATTTAAATGTATTAAATAAAATAATTTTTTTAAATGAAAAAAAATAATAATAAAACATGTATATATTAATATTGCAAAATTTGTTAATTAATACAACATAGCTTATGTTTAAAATTTTGAAGGTGTCATAATAAATTTCATACTAGAAAATATAAAACAATTATACTTTAATTTGAGTTTTTTAAAAATAAAAAATTAAGTTTTTTGTTCATCCAATAAATATTTAATTTGTTTCTTGTTCAGAGTATTCTCCTAGTCTATTGAAATCTAGTTTTGTAAATTCTATCTTTATCTATTAATTCATTAATAAATAATCGTCCAATCTATAAATTAAGTGTAAAAATGCACTTAATTTAGAATCTTTAAATTTTTTTTTTAATTAAGATTCTTGAACTAATACTTTTGCGTTTATTTAGCTACATCATGATTAATGAACAGTGTGATTTTTGAACCCAAAAATCAAAATGTACAAACTTGTTTAGTACTGTAGAAAAAAGAAGCCAAGTGAACGCTATATATACAAACCTTAGCATAGCATTTGATTCAGTCAATTATGCTTTTTTAATAAATAAACTTAGTCTTCTTGGCATTCTTGAATCTAATGGGATTGCGCATATAAGAATTTATCAAACGTCAATGCTGGGACTTTAAAAATATTCAATGTCTTATAACTCTTTATTATTCCAAAGTAGGTTCAAATCTTGAGTATGAATCCATTATATGGAATCCCTNTACTTTTGCGTTTATTTAGCTACATCATGATTAATGAACAGTGTGATTTCAATCTAGTTGTATACACCTTTTAAATAATATAAAATTCATTCCTTAAAATACTTATGTTATAAATTTAAATTAAATTATACCACTAGTAAATTTGCATACATAAATTTAATGATACATAATTTATTTTTAGAATTTTAAATAGCAATATTAATTGTCCAGAAATACCTAGAAACATTGGTTGGTTTGTTTCTTATTAATATACTAAATCTAAGACTACTTTCTATGAGTTATCCATACACAATCATATAGTTTTAACAAATCTAAAAGTTGTGAACAATATACTTTTAAGTCTAGAAAATTTTTACTTTAATTTTGATTGTGAATCTTAACTTTAATTAATACAAATGCCTCATTATAATTATGAATAATATATCATTAGTAGTAATACTTACATATACTATTTATTTTACTATATTAGAAGTTAATGTTCAATTATTATTATTTTATTTTCTCTTGATTGTATTATTTTAGTTATTTATATCACTTCATTTTTAACTATGTATATCTTATATGTAATTTTTGTACATTCTATTGAGAGTTAAATATGAATAATAAATATTTTTTTTATTTTTGTACAAGAGAAGGTAGGAAAACCTATAGTTTGCCAGTATAGAATCAAACCTAAATACTTGTTTACCACAGCCTATACAAATTGATCATTGATTTTTACCATGTTAATTTTTAATTCACTTACAAATAAAGGATTAATTTTATTAAGTAGATTCTGAAATTAATTTTTATTACAAAACTGTTTTACTGAATTTTTAATACTTAGTTATAACTCACCTGTCTAAAATCATAATCAGTATCTGATGAATAATGACTTATAGCATTTCCTCCTTGTAAAAGTACATAACAATCTGAGTTTAGAAGTTCAGAAATTGAATTTAAAGATTTACAAAGTCGTTCCTGATTTAGCTTATAAAGTTCTCTAGGTATTGATAGAGTATGTTCACCCATACTAAAATTTCCATTTAAACTGTCGAAATAACATTCAATTAAATTATATAGTTTGAGTAGAATATATAAATGTAAATAAAAAATCTACCTCATGCAAGTCATTTTTTTTTTTTATTCACAAAATTGAAAACAAGCTCAGAACTCAAATAAGTGTAACTGCAGAAGTATGGAATTAGAGTATATTATAAATACTTAAAAATATTATAGCAATGAGAAATATCAATTATTATGATGATTAAATTTAATGGATTATTTAACTATACAAAACATATTTTCTACCACTTTTAAGTAGTTACGAGTAGTACTTTTCAAGTAATATTTTTTGTATAACAGCATTGATAACATATAATCTTTATCAACCACTGCTCTATCTTCATAATATCGCCTTCATTTGAATTGTAGTCAATTTGTTTGTTATCTATATTTTACAATGACATTGGTTGAGTATAATTTAATTATACTTGTATTATAGGTGATCAAGCATTCAAATTAAGTAAAATTAAATTCTGTTATCTGCGTCTAAAATATAATTTAAATCATAATATAAGCTTTTCTAATCTTAGATTAGAGAATATTTTGTCCTGTGTAAACATAGGCTTAAAGTGGTATAGGTTTGGGAGGTATAGTCTCACAAGTAATTTAAACTATTGCATATAATATATAATATATATATATATAATATTATTCTGATATAAATTTATTTTTTTGTTCCGATGTTATATTTCAGTTCTTCTAAAATATTTACTTAAAAGAATTTATCAAAATTACATTTGTCAATTATAATAAAGAATTTACCCTACTTATTTATTCGAAAACCTAAAATTTGTTCAAATATTGGTATTATATTGGTTTAGCACGATTATTTTTTATTTTATCAAATTTTTTATAGTTAAAATTAAACGATTATTTCTTAAATTAATTCAAAAGTATAAACTAATGATTTCGATCCTATAATCTCGAAGACATTGAATAAACTGTTGATAACTTGAATTTTATAATAAGCAATATATAATTAATAGAGTCTTAGCATAATTAATAAGTGTTAATTATATAAATAATATATCCCTACTTGAATATAGTGAAGTTTTAATTTAGTTAAGTTTTAGTTTAGTTAAGTCAAAAACATGTTAATTTTATTAACATCATCTCTCTTAAAAAACCTTGTTTAAGTTGTATTTAACTTTTCTTACCAATAAATTGAAAGATAGAGTTATCTCTATTAACTGACATATTTTATCTTGCAAAATTCTTTTGAGTATGTCATAGTTCTTTGATAACATGACAAGCTTATAGGTAAGTGACATAAATTGTAAATTAACAAATAAATTTCGTTGTATATTTTAGATGGTTATAAGTCAAAAAGTAAAAGGTCTTGAAATAAACTAAATTCTATTAATTGAAAAAAAAATTGGAATTTTCTAGATAACACAAATTACATAAAACAATTATGTACAACAAATTCTCATAACATTTTTTTGTAGTTAATTATGTCAATAAACAGTAAAATTGTTTTTAAAAACGTTTACAAATTATATCAATACAGAAGATTGATAGTTAGTGTTATCATTTGGAATTTAATAATTAATATCATAAGAAAATTGCAAACACAAAAAATACTGGTAATTGACCTCAGCTGCTAGTTTAAAACATACTTTATTCAATAACACATACATATTTCATTAAATTTGGAACTTAAAGATCTCATAAGAACTTCTCCTGGTTAAAGTATTTAAAATATTACACTAAATAAAAAAATGTGTGCAAGGATATATCGGACTTATAATACAATTGGACAATGTATTATAGCAGTCTAAATAACAATAAAGTTTAAAATAAAATTAACACATTTTGTATAACAATAAAAAACATTTTTATTTTTCAATACATACTCCCATTAATTGTTTAAAACTATCAAAATAACTAAAACGAAAAAAAAACAGTCTCCATTCATAACTAATTTTATACAAAATATACCTAATTTAAATCACCATTTAATTATAATATAAACACTATACAGAACTGTGTACAGAAATATTAGTAAAAATTATCTAATAATTAAATAGAATAGGCAAATTACACCATGACAATTATATATTACCTAAAAAAACATAGGTACTTATAAAAAAAGAACTATTTGGGTAAATTTGGCATTCAACAAGGTAATAGGCATGTAAAATTAAATTTTAACTTAGACAATATAGAAATAAAATCACAATATTATTTAGATCATATCAATATTTAAATACATTATTTAATGTTCAGTGAAGAAAGATAATTAGAATACTTTCACTTATATATTGTTCCAATGTTTAATATTTAAAAAATTAAAGGTTTTTAGACTTTACTACACTATACTTTTTAGGACCTCAACAATCCTATTAAATAAAATAGTATTAAATAATAAAAGAAAATTTTTGAAATTTGACAATTAAATAAAATAAATTAACAAATACCAGAAATATTATTAAACATAAAATCATATGATTTAATTTAAGGATTAGTTGATATAATAGCATGCAATATAATAATTTTGTAATAATTGTTGTTGATCAATTTTCAGTCAAAATTATTTCAAAATAAAAATTAAAAACTATAGAAATTAAATATTAATATACTGGTTGCTCTGAATATCAATTAAAGTATTTAAAATTTATTTGTAGTTAATTAATTAATATATTTAAAAAAAAAATCTTTATATATATAAAAAAAAATAATAAAGGTAACTTTAAAATATTTATAAGTAAGACACAACTGTTTATTTTTATTAAGTAAATGTTATCTTCAATTCAAAAAATTGAGGCAAGCTTTTATTATTATAGCATTGCATTTAACAAAAAAAAATGAATTTATTCAAAGAATAAAATATTCTTATTAAATAATAAAAGCAGTTATGATTTATAAAATGAAACTAAATCAATTAAACTCGAAAATAGTATATAATTATTATGAGTAAAAACTTGAGTAGAAGAATTATTTTTGATAAAATAAATATAAACAATTGTCAAAACTAAAACGAATAAAAAATATTTCATTAATTATCAATGGCAAAATTTTTAGCAAATCGATTTAGATTTTGAAGCTATTTAAATTTTTTAAAGACTATCATTAAGTGAATACAATAGTTTTTTAAATAAAATTGAAATGATTTGTATTATACAATTTAAATAACTTCAAAATGAGAATTCTGATACATGTATGAATCACATGGTAAAGTAATATAAACATGTCATAAATAATAAATACTGAATAACTTTTGTACACACTAATGAATATATTACAAAAGGAACCAAACAAGTATACTAAGGGGCTTATTTCAGCAATACCTAAACTTAGGGCTCCTTGATGATTCTTCATCGGATTCATAGTAATACCTTTGTTTAGGTGAAAGACCAATTTGTAATCGTCTTACTGCTTCTTTAATAAGGCTTCCTTCTCGGAGTAATACTTGTAGCATTTCATAAGGATCATCAGAATCTTGGTTATCTTCATCATCACAACGACATAACCGTTTCTGAGAACACAATTCACATGCAACTGGTTTAGCGTATGGTTGAACTCGGGCAAAATTTGAGCGATGTCTTCTGGATTTAAATCCAGACAGTCTAAGGTTTTCTTTAATTTCAGATACTAAATGTTCAACGTCATATGATAATAATTTGGCTTCATCAGTGGACGTCATCATGTCCCTGCTTTGCATTGTATCACACATTACAGCGTTGGTAGTTTAACAAAACTATGGTATTACTATTAAAAATGAATAGCAGTAAACATAACTTATGTAACCAACAAGATAACTTGTATCATACAAAATAATACAAGTAATACAAAATATTATATTATTTTGATTTAAATGTTAAATTCGCGAAAGACACGTTTATTAATTACGCGATGTGAGTATCTCATTTAATTTTTACACAACACGGTGATAATAAAAAAAAGCAGCACACAAGGGCGTAGGAAGAATGTAGATATTCTAGTTGAATGTAGCCGCAACAGCAGAATAGATGAATAGGATGACTACCGGCATAAGTGCTTATGTTGTCTTTCTAAAATGAACTGTGATCCGAAGGTAGGGGCAACAACAGAAACAGCAGTTGGCAATAGCAGCTCCGGTTGTTATTGTTTTGGTGCCAATACACATTCAGACTAAACACAGCAAATTGTATATGTGTACGCACAGAAAGCCGTGAACGACGAACTCAACACACACCAGTGATGGATTTTCCGAACTTAACGCAATTACACCCGTTGTGGCCCGAATTCGATAATAGAAATATCACAAATACAAAAATTGATTAAACTAATGAACTCGCACAATAGGTTATCATTTTTTTATAAATTTAATGTTATCGCGTTAACTTACTAAACATTTGGCGATTATTTTAATTCACTTACTAATAACTCATATGGCAAACCAACTCTGCGCTGGTGCCGCCGCAAATGTGCTGTGGCCTGTGCGGACGTGCGTAAGGGGCCAAGGTTATTTCATCAGCCAGCCAGCAGTCGCCGCGTCGACGAAGCGGTGCCAGCACTAGCAGCGGCAGACAAGGGAAACGTAAACACAACAGACAAACGGTATTATTTCGAGGGGAAGTGTTGTTTATAAACACGACGTACAGTCCGACAACGTCGCATTGCCGGGACGTGCGCCGTTGTCTGGTCGTCGGCCGATCACGTCATGCGAATATGCGATATTGTAACAACACGGGCGGGGTCGGAGAGACTGGCGAAAAACCTGTACCTGCATGTCTACATTTTCTGCTTGCCTGCTGCCACCAAAATTGTACATCATAATATTATTATACTATCGATTAATCAGTCAGCGAAAATTTTTTCACCGCTAATTTTTTTATGCTTTCTTTGCGCACGTACACCATAGAAATTGTGTAGACTCGGTTAAAAAGAAGAGTCAAACAATAAAACTCATCTTACATTTTATGTACTTATAAATTGGTCTAACAAACTAGACGCTCGTTTTTATAATAATTGTTGGAGTTTCTACAAAGAAATTACTAAGCAAAAGATACGTGTAATTAACGAGTATAACTTTTTTATGTACAAATGGTTTAAATATTTTAATTTCTCAGTTCGAACATTATTTTTTAAAAAAAAAGAAAATAACGTAACCTTGCTGAAATAAATCTAAAATCTAAAACACTTATCATATTAAATTTCAATTGTTTTCTTATTAGTACACAAGTTACGCTGCATTTCATAGTCATTCAATAAACAAAAAATAATTGTTTTGTTTCCTAAGTTATACTTATTTTATTAGTTTTGAGTCTATGTCAATGATTTGAACAATTGAATAATTTGATTTATTGTTACTAACTATATTATATGCTAACTACACACTTGTACACACTGCACAACAGCTTTTATCAAAGAGACTTTATTATTAAATAAAAATTTGTAGTAACAAGCAAACTGAACTGAAACACGCTCACATATTTTAGGTTTATACGTATTTTAAATTCTCCAACTAGCTATCTTTTTTCAATTATTGAATCAAAATTGATAAATTCTTCGAAAGTAATAATTTATATAGTATGATAAAGTAGTTATTGTAGTAAAACACTGTTTTTCTTTTGAACATTAATTTCACTTTTCACTTAACGGTGATGTGCTATTATCAGTTAAGATTCAAGTTTTTTTTAGATAAATAAAAACAGGCAAATTAAATGTTGTACGATAATTATTTAACCTTAAAACTAAATTATTCCATGATAAATTCTTAATACAGGCATTTTTTATATCTTCATTTTTTTTAATATGTTTTCTAAAAATTTGTTTTATTTTTTTTAATCCTAAACAAACATTTACCAGAAAACGCTGAAAAGTGTTTTTATAAATGTTGTTTTTTAGTTACAACGGTTAACTAACTGAATAAAATTATTTAAAAAAATGAATTCATAATAACTTAATATAACATTTATTCCGAAGGTATCTGAAAAACAATTTTAATCATAATCACCTTTACGAATGAAATTTTTTATTTAAAACTTTTTCAATAGTTGTCTTATTATGCTTATACATTTAATTTTAAGCCTTAGTGGGAATATGATTAATTATTCCTATCTAAAAGTCCTATAGATAAAAACTTGATAACGCAAACTCACATGTTGGAAAATCGTACTCATTATTTTATGATTAAATATTTACTTGTTAATATTTAAAACACAGATTATTACATAATTTTATTCAATTTATGTAGTTATATCGTTATATAATGAGGCTTTTAGTGAAAACTCGGAAAAATCCGAAAATCAAAAATTAACGATTATTGAAAAATAAAAAATAATGATCATTTTTTGCTATTGTTATTTAAAAAAAAAAAAATATTACTGTAGTTCAATTATCAAAGCATAAAGTACATTGAATTTGAAATGCTTAAATATTAAATAAGAATATGATTGCTTAAAAACTATACATTTTCATAGCATGTTTATCATTTAAATTAATAGTATTAATATTAATAATACATAAACAGCGGTGATTTCGAAAAGGTGTTATTAAAATATATATAGAATGTTCAGTGAGTAAGGAAACGGATTTAAATTGTTTTAATTATTTGTAACAACTGACCTGTTCTTTACTTACTGAACACTCTGTATATAGTTATATAAAATACATTAAGATGTTAAATTTTTTATGTGCACCAACAAAATTATTTTCAATTTTTGAAGTAATGTAACTAATGTGGTTGAGCAATAGGCTAAATGATATAAAAAAAAAAAAGCGAATTTATCATGATTTACGTACTGATACTTAATATAGATACTTTTTAATGGTACACTATTTTTAAGTATGTACATTTATTATAATTTCCTTTTCCAAGCTTGATGTTGGTAAATATCAAAAAGTGTTGATGTAAATTAGTTGTTGTTTACGTTTTATCAAAATGTAATTATAATTAATTTGTATAACTTGCAAATTTAATATCGTATTGGTGATTATTGTCACTAAAATAACTAAATATATTTTCATATGATAATGTCAATGAAGAAGTTGAAAATAATAGTATTAGATATGATTTGACTCAAGTAAAAGTACAATGCTAATAATCATATAACTATAAATAAATCTTGTTAAAACGACAAAAAAAAAAAACAGAAGATACGTTTTATTTTAAGAACTATTCAATGTTTGCTAATAAATATTGTATACTGAGTTGTATAAATATTTTTAAAACTAAATATCAAATTTATACATATTATTTTGTGATATTGAATAGTCCCTATTTTTTTACCATAACTCAATGTTTTGATTATTAAGTATTTACAAAATTACAATACCAGATAAGACATTAGAAATAACGAAAATATTTATCTTTCGAAATAATTTTTAAAAAATAATGAAAATATTTCAATTTTTATAATTTGAAATTAAAACTTTTAGAATTTATTTTAAATTTATAATTTATAAATTATATATTTGAATGATATAAGTTATTATTTAATATATTAAACAAATTAAAGGTGTCCCTCGTTGCAATTTTTCAACAGATTTGAATTTTTAATTATAAATTTTTTAATTTTGCATATTTCTAGTATATTTTATAAATATAAAAATCTTTGTTAAAATATATTGATTTTTTTAAATAATTCAAAAAGTTTTACATAAATAAAAGAAAGTTTATTATATTTTAGAATTGTCAGACACTTTTTTTACTTGATCCTTTTCTTTTGCATACGCCTATTTATACTTGATTTTTCATTTTACTCATACTTAAAAGATTACAAACATCAAATAGAATATGCACAACACTGTCATGTCATACCATATGGCATCCTTGAAATGTCATAAACTAGACACTCAATTTGGTCTTAAATCAAATTTTCTGTCGGACATTTTTAAATGTGTCAATATACAACATGTTACTTCATTATTTACTCAGATATATCAATTTCTTACTGTAATAAAACAAAAAAAACCTGTGACAAAATGTAGAAACATAAAGACAGACTAAGACTATTTAATAATCATAATATATCTTATACATAAATTACTATTTTTAATTAAAAATGGCATATAATTATTATTTATATTGTTTTCTATAAAATATTTGTTTATTATGACAAAAATGAATTATCTAAAAAATATAATTATTGTTGAATTATTAAAAGTAAGATGGAGTTGCTTTTGTGGCACCTACCCAAAGTTAGGTAACGTACATTGGCTAAAAATTAATTTTATCTTAATACATAAAGAAACATTGACCAACAATAACAGATTATTAGTGAATCCTAAATATTTATTCTCGAAAATTGAACCAAATCAACCCCCCCTCCACTTCTTCCTATTTGTCCATTTGCTAATGAGTATATATCAAAAAGTTTAAAATTATATAAAAAAAACCCAGTACAGGGGGGTCGAGGCACAGTGGTAATGTGGCATAGTTGGATCAAGTATAATGATATCTGACAGTCNGTCGCGGCACAGTGGTGACGTGGCATAGTTGGATCAAGTATAATGATATCTGACAGTCATTAAAATCACTATAAAAAAAAAACGCTTCGATGCAAATCTTTAGATAGTGTTTAATTTTAAAAAATTGGTGGATTATTCCAAAAGCTTCATGATCTGCTATTTTCTTATTAATATCCTGAATGAAAAAGGGATTATTAAAAAATATTATTTCTCATAAAAAAAATTGTGTTGATCCATACACTTTTCAATAAGTTATAGCATTATAAAGTTAAAAATGTAAAAAATAAAATCAAGAATTTTCACACGAAAATAGCATTCGGTAGCCATTTTCACCACGAAGACAAGTCTAGAGGTCAAATTTTTTTTTTTCCATAATAAAGTATATTACATTAGCTTTAATTTAAGATATATATAAAAGTTTCAGACCTTCCGGAACACTTTCAAAAGTTAAGTTGAAAAAGTTTTACTTTCTATATGCATTTTTATGTTTTGAACCCCCCCCCCGTATATAAGGAAATAGTCAGATTTAAAAAAAAAGTATGTCGAATGAAAGATAAATATAAATACTACTTTTCATGAAAAAATTGTATTAATCCATACATTTTTTTAAAAGTTATAGCATTTTAAAGTAAAAAATGTAAAATATAAAATCGAGAATTTTCACACAAAAATTGCATTCGTATAGGTAAAAACATCAAGCATTTAAAAAAAAAAAAATTACAGCAGTTTTTAATTAAAAAAATTGAAAAAAATTCGAAAATTAGCGATTTTTAAATTTGTAATTTTTTTGGAGGTTTCCCCAATTTACGGGGAACGAGAGAATTTTTTTCAATTTTTGAGGGTAATGTCTTCGACTAGATACGATTTGTAATCTTTTGGCGTATCATTGAAAAAAATTGGTTCGGTGAGAGCTGAGAAAAAGTGGTAACAGACACAAAAAAAAACACATCATAGTAAAACCAATACCTTCTCAGCTTCGCATCGAAGCTAATATATATATTATTTTATCATGTTATTATCATGGCCATAATAACTAAAAAGGATGAAATATCATTTTTGTGTTTTTTTACTTAATATATGAAAAATTTATTATTTCTGTGTTAATATTTCTATTACGTATTTATAATTTATTTATGTTACATTTAAATGTATTATTACTATTATTTTTATTAATGAATTATACTATAAAGCCATTTTTGTGACCTTATATATCTAAATAAAATAAATAAATAAATTGAGAGTTGGCAATTTTATTTCAACACAACCTCATAAATTCTCAATAATTGAGTAAATCCAATATAGAATATCATATGTATAAATAAATAATTATTGTTCTCTTGAAAATTAATTATGATGAGAGAAGAATCGAATAAAATGCTAAATATTACTTATTGGCTTTAAATATACGCGAGAAAGAATAAATCCATTCTAATTCCATCAAAAATTAATTTCTATTTAAATTGAGACAATGTTTCATAACTTTTATTTTGATTAGTTCATTTTTAGATTAAATTTTAAGATTGCTAAACGTTATTAATAACCATAAATAGGTAACTTTTAATATTTTAATTATGACATATTTGTATATCTTATAATTAATACATGTATTAAAAAAAATATATATATACAAAAAATAATTTTTTTCTTCTATTAAAAAAACCAAAACCAATTAAATAATAAAATAGGCAACCCAAAAGCTTTTTAAGTGAAAATGGTTGCACTTGGTATCGAAATTTTTAACGAGTAGTTTACATGTTATTTTTTCTTTTTACTATATGTTTGGAGGTAAATTTATTATCATGAATACTGTTTAATAATAATACAAATATTAAATTAAGTTACTGGATTGTTTTAGAATGTATATTTTTATTGAATAAATTCATGATTATTACATTAAATTTTTACGGTATGAATAATGACATGTTGATAAATTCATTTTAATTTAATATACATTCTTCGAATAAAACTATTGAAGATAAATACCTAAATTTCAATAAACATTAAATAAATTATCATTACATTCTTAATAGTATTATGTTATCATTTTTCAAAATTTTGGTAATAATTTAGTCAATACATTTTCAAAATCAAAATCTAGTTGTGAAATACTTTTTAAATGGTTTCTTTTATAATTAATGAAAATATAAATACATATTAGTATATTTCTTGATAAATTCCTTTTATTTAAGTTTCTAAAAGATTAGGTACTAACAGAAGAAATTAAATTCATTTTTTAATTTAGATATTTTATATAGATTTAATTGAAAAAACCCAGCACAGGGGGGTCGCGGCACAGTGGTGACGTGGCATAGTTGGATCAAGTATAATGATATCTGACAGTGATTAAAATCACTATCAAAAATAAACGCTTCGATGCAAATCTTTAGATAGTGTTTAATTTTAAAAAAATTGGTGTTTTATTCCAAAAGCTACTTGATCTGCTGGTTCCTTATTAATATCTCGATTAAGATAAAGTATGTCGAATGAAAAAGGGTTTATTAAAAAATATTATTTCTCATAAAAAAATTGTGTGGATCCATAAACTTTTCAATAAGTTATAGCATTATAAAGTTAAATATAATATAAATAATAAAATCGAGAATTTTCACACAAATTTAGGATTCGATAGCCATTTTCGCCGTGAAGACAAGTCCAGAGGTCAAATTTTCTTTTTTCAAATTAAAGTAAATTACATTAGCTTTAATTCAATATATATATAAAAGTGTCAGACCTTCCGGAACATTTTCAAAAGTTAAGTTGAAAAAGTTAATTTTTTGTGAAAAAGTTGTCATTTTAAATCCCCCCCTTGTGGGCAGGTTAAGTGTCAGATTTACAAAAAAATATACCAAATGATAGGTAAAGACATCAAGCATCAATATAAAAAAAATTATATTGATATGTACATTTTTGAAAAAGTTACGGCAGTTTTTAGTAAAAAAAATTGAAAAAATTTCGAAAATTAGCGATTTTTAAATTTGTAATTTTTTTGGAGGTTTCCCCCATTTACGGGGAACGAGGGAAATTTTTTCAATTTTGATGGGTAATGTCTTCGACTAGATACGATTTGTGATCTTTTGACGCATCGTTGAAAGAAATCCGTTGAGAGCTGAGAAAAAGTGGTAACAGACACAAAAAAAAAAACATATCTTAGTAAAACCAATACCTTCTCAGCTTCGCATCGAAGCTAAAATATTAGATACGGCTAAGCAGTCACACGATTACATAAATCATTTTTACATTTTCACTAGTCCATTACCTTTCCTAAACTGTTCATATTTATGGAAAATATAAGGAACTTTCAAGAGGTGTTCGCTTAAAAATTCATCTTGTTTACCCAGTTAAAAATGTTATATTGTAAAGTAGAACAGTTCACTGTAAAATACTTAGTAATTTCTCGTTTTCTCAATTAAGTTACTATTATAATTAATCCAGTTTGAAAAATTTGAGTGGTGTTATCAAAAAGTGTTTTTGCTGCCCTATATATACGCCTATGTGAAGAGGTTAGGACATTATAACCTCAAATTAAGAGCTATTTTTAGTCTTATTTTTTCGTTCTGATATAAATGAACATAACTTAAACTGTATGTTTTTTATTTGTATAAAATTGCATCTCATATATTCAAGTAAATTAGATTTAAAAGAACATGATTCAATTGCGCGGACTGTACCTCACATTTTCAATTAAGTTTATAAATAAATAAACAGGTAACGCTGTTAGGAATCAAATCGATTACTTCTCATAATAAAGGTTTAAAACTTTCATTGAGATCTATTATTCCTAGGCTAGAAAGTTTCTAGGCTATAACAAACTCCAAACGCCCGACATATTATATAATGAAAATAATTGTTTATTTTTTCAAAACTTAAGTTAGAGCTTAAGCATAATAAAGTATATTAGAAAAATAAATATTTTGGGATTCAATGAATTATAATAACAATTATATAAGTAGAATATTGGACTAGTTAGGAAAGATAAAATTAGGAACAGCTGTGTTGAGAATATATCTAGAAAAATTAACTTAATGGATTAAAAAATTCCATGGTTTGTAACTCTAGGGTTTGAAATTATTAATAAAAAAATGTATTACGTTAATGTTTATAAATATAGAGCTAAAATCACTTATAGCCAAAAATGAATGCAAATGAAAAAATAGAACTATTCATAAGCGTGATGCTTATGAATAGTGATAGTGATGACATCAGACTTTTACAGCTGGATAAAGCTCAGATGTATTTTATTTATGGGAGGTTCAATAACATATTTTCCCACTCCAAAAAACATATTATTTTATTTAAGTTTAGGAACTTCAGTAACTCCTGGTGCTACCACTGATCATAAGCTGCTTTATAAAAAATAAATTAAGATTAATTGTGCACCAGCTAAAAATGATACACTTGTACTGTACTTTAAATTGAGAATTATTTATCAAACCAAAAAAAAAATTATAATAATTTATCTTATTATATGGATGAGTAAATTTAAATGAAATGATTTTTTGAAAAACAAAAATTGTGAGATGATATGAATCAGATGTGCCATTTATAAGTATTGAAACATTTTAATTTCTAATATGCAATAAATTATAAAATGATAATTACAGCATACATCCAATTAGGTATAAATTTTATTCTAATTAAAAATAAAACAAATACAATCTAATAATGTATAAATAATTAACTATAAATCTAATATACATTTAAAACATTCAACTAAAATCATTACAATTATTGATGAGAAAATAAACAAAAACATAAAACAGCTAATAATCTAATTCTAAAACAAATTGTCTTTACTTTAATTAAAGATATTATTCTATAATAACAAGTTTTGATAAATTGACTACATAGTGATAGTATGGAAAAAATGTTTTATCTGACACTTCTTTCTTATTTGATTTTTAACATAAAAATATTTAATAAAATAAATAAAAATAATATAACAAATAAATTTTCAGGAGGGAAAAAAATACCAAATTAAGCTATAAACTTTGACATATCTTAAAACAGATAAGAAAACTAATGGTAGAATAAACTGTTAATTTCCACACTATTTTTAAGAAGTCAAAATAATTAAAAAATCAATTTAACAACAAGCTAGTCACTTCCGGAAATTATTTGTCCTAAAATAAATAGAACCAATAGCATAATTTATAATATTATTAATAATAGGAATCATATATTTCAGTATATTTTAAGTGCACACATCATTAGCATTTTGTGACAAAATATAGTTTTCCAACTTTTTGTCAGAATAAATAATTGGTAAGATTATGGTTTTAATCGACCCCATTTCATTTTACTAAATTCAATATAAAAACAACTAAAAACTTAACAAAAACAAACCTATTAACCAATATTAACAAATAATAAGATATAAAAAAATAAAATATAACTTATTTAATTGACAATACTTCATATAAAATATACTCATAAGAAAAACTAATAGACATAATATTAAAACAAAAGATCTGTTTAATTGTAAAAAGGGGTGACAAGGTATAACCATAAATCTTCCAAAAAATAATAGGAATTATTAAATATATAATAATGTGATCACCTCATTAAAAAATAAATCAATTAACCCAAAAGTATGCACTAAATAGTAATAATTGACAAACATGAGATACAGTATTTCATTAAGCAGTGTGATGTCATTGTGATGACTCAGCATTTCCTAATCCTTTTGGCAGCGATGAAAAACATAGCCTAAGTAAGAAAGGAAACTTGGATGATTCGCATTTAATAGGCCAATGGTTAACAGCCATAATGACTTCAACAGCAGTAGCTATATCTGAAAATTCAATAAGTCCAGATGAACTACGCGCATCTGTTCCTTTAGGTGGAAACATTTTCACAGTCAATTCAGCATCTTCATCTTTCAAAGCTTTAAGAATAGTTTGGTTCAAATCAACCTCTGATATGTTTGGCGGAGCATTGAAAAAATGTAGAACACTTGATGGATTTTGGCGTCTATTTTTACCATTTGCATTTGAATGATATCTGAAAATATGATACAATTTTAACATAATACTATGAATAATTGTAATTTACTTTTTATATAATCAAACTCATCAATAAGTAATAATTATAAATAATTGATCAAAATTTAAATTAAATAATTTCTTATTGTCATTTTACATGCGTAACAAAAATGCCTTTACAAATTAGGTATTACTTTTTTATTTGTATTTTTTTTTTTTGAAGTTAAAATAAATAAAGAAAGTAATTAAACATAAATATATAAATTAATGATTTCGTTAGTTTTATTATAGTAATATTATAATATTATTTTGTTATAAAATTTGTTTTAAATATTTGATTACACTTAGAAATCAATTAATAAAAAATTTATACGTGGTAATTTGAAATTATAACAATAAGTTATATTTTACCTGTTATTTTTAGAATTAGAATAGTCTTTAAAAGATGGTGTCCCATCAGGTAAGTCGTAAGGTACCATGATATCCGAAAGATACATCTGTTTCGATACTTGTAATTGTAACATGTTACCACTTATAAGAATCAGTTTGTTTAAATTGTCCATACATCGGTCTACTGACATTTCATTATCCATTTGTACCATTGCACAACCTTCTTTGCTCTTTAAAAACTTTACTTTGATAACATTACCATACAAACAAAACAGATTAAAAAGCCGATTACAGTTTGCTTTTTCTGGATCTAATCCGTATACCATCAAAACACATCGTCCAGGCGTCGAAGGATAGCTTTCACCATAATTATTATTAGGCAAATCATGCGGTGTAGTTAATAAACCTGACCGGCATTCATATTCAAACCTGGGAAAATTTGGTCTTGTAGATATTAGTGGTGCTCTAGGAGGATCTGGTAGTAGTGGAACAGATTTTTTATCTCCAGGAGTAGGTGTTGTATAATCCCAAGTTTCTGAATCATTCTTATAAACATTCAGTTTAGATGGTTTAGCATATTCTACTTTTAATGTGCAACACCCTTGATATATATCAGCACCATCCATTAGTTGCTTTGCCCGTATAGCTTGGTCTACTTCTTCAAACTCTACCATTGCTTGAACACCTCGTTTTCTAAATATCACTATGCGTAGTACTTTACCATAGTCTTTAGATATAGTATGAATTACATCAGTGTTAATAGGATATGTCACTTTAGTGATAGTTAGCAAAATAATGTGGTTTGGTTGAGTTTCTGCGTGCTTTCGACGACCATCTTCATAAGACGAACTGGTGTTGTTATTTCTGGTTTCCTGATCATAATCGGCCCTCAATCTCTTACTAGTCTGATCATTTTTCAAACTGCTATACCCATAATGATTATAAGCCATCATTATAGTTACGTTTTGTTGTTTTAATTTGAAAAAAAATTAAATGATAAATAGATAATTACTATTTAATTTAAATCGCAAAGATTGACATCGCCCGTAAAATCAAACGCACAAAACTGTTATTGGGCTACATGGCACTTGACATGGAAATAATACAAAACTGAAAAAATTAATCACATAAAAACATAGACAACGTATATATTGATTACATACATATTGTAGCTAGTAAAGAAAAAAGTTAAATTGTAAGCAAATAGCGCTATCATAAAATTGACGCCATTTTGTCCCTATATCTATGTAACAATATTAAAATAATGTATTTAATGTGTTTATGATAAATTATTGAACATCACAGAACTGAACATAGGAACAAATCAACAGAGACTATAGGAAACCCATCGCTGCAGCCGAATAGTTACTTAACGCGGAGGACGCGCGCCGTTCAACTACCGACCGTAAATCAGATAATGTACATTATTGCGCGCAGACTGCAGCTGTGTTAAGTAGTTGAGGTTGCCGAGGTGGCGCGTTTGCACGGGCGGGCGCAGAGACGACGTGTTATTTTATTATCCGTCGATCACCGCGTTTTACGAACCCCTGCCCTCCTTCGTAGGTAGGCCTCACGACACGGCCAATTCAGGGATCGACCGCCGTCATCTTGAAACAAAAGAGTTAATTATTTTATCGAAGTTCTGCACGTTACGGTAGTAAATGCCGACTGTGCATGTGCCGTAGCATTCTTTGGCTACGGGCCATCGGCGACGCCGGTAGTTCAGCCGTTTTGACACTCTTTAAACGCGAGGGGAAGGTTAAAACGCTTCAAACAATATTGGACAATGCATAGGTACACAAAGATAGGAGGAAGAGATGAACCTGGCGGTGGTGGTAAAAGATTTATTTTTAGGGATAAGTAAAAACATACGGACTGGCGGTGACGAGATTGATGATGTCTCTTGAACAATCGTCAATCGACCTGTCCCGTGTGTTTACGCCATGCGATCGATTTTCAAAAGTGGCTATAAATACATAACCAAAAAAAAAAACACAGCTNTCAAAAGTGGCTATAAATACATAACCAAAAAAAAAAAACACAGCTGCCACATAATAGACCAGTTACAACACGAAAAGAAACTTTATATTCAAAATCAATTGTTTTAAATTATAAACAATAACCTTTGTGTTTTAAACACAAAATATCAAAAGAACGAAAAAAAAAAGTACAAACAAAAAAAGGTATTGTAATATAAGTTTTTAGTAAGGAAAACTTTATTCATATATTAGAAATATAATTACATCAACAGTTTAGAAATTATAAATCGAAAGATTAATATTTGATAAATCTTAGTAATTCATGAACTTAAATCTTTATGACTACTCATATCATAATAATACATTTGTCCTGAATTGGGAAATATTGTATAATTTAATATAAATAATTCAATATTTTGATAGCTACAAGCCTATTTAATCATAAAATATGTTTATTTATTTTAAATGTTTAACGACAAATCAATTTATCTAAAAACAAACCACTTTTACATCTAAAATATACCAAACAGATTATTTCAGGTTATCACTAAAATATCTGTTTCCAAATCAAAATAATTAATGATTTATCTGGATCTCATTCTTAAAGCCATTCTTATAACTTTTTACTTTAGACAACTTTTTAATAAATTTTAAGAATACATTTGAAGAGAAAGTGATGAATTAATATTGAATTAGAACCTTAAGCAAATTTATATCTGCCAAGAAAGTGCATATTTATAATCTTGTTCCATACAAATTCGTTTCAGAATTTCTATATTTAAAATTTAAAATTATACTGTACATATTTTTGCAAAATTATTTTTACCAATAAAATTAATAAATTTTGATAATTTGAATATCTAAGACAAACCGTTCTAATTACAAAAAAATGTTTGTGTAAAAGTTGTTTACAATTTAATTTTTAATACGTTTTGGAAAAGAAAAAAACATTTATGTATTTTCTAAAGTAGAAACAAGGTAAACTCATAAATTGTAAGCATGTTTCTATACTAATTGAAAAAAAACTTTGTGCATCTTTTTTAGTAATTTTTAAATATTTAATTATAATTCCATTTTTAAAAAAAACGTTATCATTTTGAAATTATATTTACAATAACCAATTGAAAATTTAATTAATTGTTTACAATACTTGTACTAAAAATTTTACAATAACCATATACCTATATAAATTATAAAAATATAAATAAGAAATGAATATATAATGTAAAATATTTTATCCCAATAGTGTAATTATTTTACTGTTGGGAAATTACTTTTAATATTTCGTAACAACTTGTAATGTGTACTATTTTTGTTCTTCGTTTTTCGATTCTATTTTATTTAAGTCTTCCATTAAATTTACTACCAGCTCTGCAGTATCATTCACAATTTTGAGATTATTAATTATTTCTTGACCTTTGCAATAATTTGAATTTTCTTTCCACGTAAATGGGTTTTTTTCTATAAAACTATAATTTATACTAAATTGTTCAAAAAAATTGAAAGTTTTACTTGATACAAAATGTTCTATTTTTTATAAAGTCTGGTACTTCATAGAAATCAAAATTTGTTCGTTTATTTTTTATGACATAAAAAATATGTCATTTCATCTCTATTGAAGTATTTATTATCCAATTTGTTAAATTTAAATATTATGTTAGTTTTTGTCTTGTGTGGAATACGTGTTATCGAAAAATGCTAAACCAATGTTTTCTGATGTTGTATACCATAAATGATTTGACAATTTTTTCAAAATATTTTTAGATAAATCTTCATCTATAGTTTTGTATTTGTAAATATTTATTAAAAGTTCTAAATCTTGTCGAGATGAGAGAGCGGCATTTGTTGCATTAAACCAATTAATTACGAAAATACAAATACTTGAAATTGAATAACTCTTTTTGAGTTATTTTGAATTATTCACAAAAAATAAATATTTTAAGAGTGTAAAGCGCTTATGACATCTATTGAGCATAGAGATTCGCTCCATAAATGATACACCTCTGGCGATACATTTAATAAAATTACTGTGATCTCAAGAAATTCTCTGTAATCTTTTCTAAAATGGGATAATTTTAATTGATTCAACCAAAAATCTAAAATATGTTCAATAAAACTTTGTAATTTTTGAAAAGTAAATGGATTTTTGATATCGAATTTGTAAAGTTAAGTATTTATTTTCGGCAAAATTGATAAGTTTTCCTTATTTTATCGTTAACAAATACATTAAATGTTTTTTTCTTTAACAAAACTTATTAAAAATTAAATTTTAACACAACTTTTACATGACACACTTTTTTTGGAATTAGAATGGTTTGTCTTATATATTTAAATTGTCAAAATGTATTAACTTTATCGCTAAAAATAATAATTATAACTTTTGATTTGTAGGGGGGGTAAATATTTGACTTATGACTTTTTTGTTAACATTTTTATTTTGTAAAATAGTTATATTTATAATTTCATTCATATAAATTTTTATGAATATATAAAAATTTGTAGACAAAACACAAAACTACTCTTATGATCAAATTTTCAACACTCTTAGGGTACGTGTTTTTAACGTTAATATGTTGACCAAATTTTGTATAGCTTAATTTTTAATGTATTAGAACAAATTTTAGGGGCGCAATCTAAAATATTTTAATTCAATAGCTAAGTACCACCCTAATATATATTAATTTTCAGGTTCATGATCCATCATAATTTATGTATTATTTTTGTAATATAAAACCATATTTTTAGTAGAGGGTTAAGTAAATTTAATCTCCTCTCTCTCAAAAAAAGTAAAAGATAATAGATACTAATATATATTTATTAACTCTTAAAATTTTGATCCTTAAATATAAGGTAGGAATACAGAATCATTCATGATATAATTATATTTAAATATTTTAGCCCATTTCAAAATTTTTAAAATAACATTAGATTTTTTTTATTGAGGGTGTAATCTCTACAGTTATAGTTGTGTATAAAATTATATGAATAAAAACTAACCCAAGGACATCAATCACATGTGTTTGAAATTTATTACAGAGATAACGTGGAAAATAAAATAAATATTAATCTTATAAACAAAAATGAGCACGTGACTGGGATGTAACTTTTAATTAATGTTTATAACTTGTCAACTCATAATAGTGTATTACTAATTTATCTGTCTGTAATTCATGTAAATATGGGCTATAGCCAAAAAGACATCAATATATATACACACACAGATTGGAGCAGATCTAACTGACAACTCATATAACTTATGATCCACATAACATTTTATACCTTTTTTTAAATAAATTTTTACAATATAGGATTATATTTAAATTATGTTTTATGTTATTTTTCGCAATTACAATTAATAACTAATTTTTTTAAGACTTGAAAATAGCCATTTTATGGATAACTTTTAAAAAAATTTTGATACCAAAAACTCTTATTTTAATTCAGTAGTTACGTTTATACTGCATTTTGAAGTTTGTTAAATTTTTATTTTTTTAGGATTTTCCTATGCTATCAAATGTTAATCTATATTATGTAAAGGACGGAAATAAACATTATCTTTTTACGTTATTTATTGGTAACAGTACGCGATTTCTTGTCGTGGATAATTATACCGTTTGGACGTGTTGAACAATTCGTTATTCAAAATCATTAAAACATGTTAACAATATTTTTTTTTTTGAGATTGATGATGATCGATATGTTTATTAAGATTTAAAAAAATGATTACATAAAAAAAATATTAGGTTTACAGATATAAGCTTAGTGTGAAAGTAGTTACAATTTTGCCAATGAACTTTTATATATTTTAAGAAGATGGATTACACTTCCTCTACTACCATACAGCTAATAAATATGTGATTCTTTGTATCATAAAATCATTACTTACTAATATTATCGTTTTAAAATTTAGAATATAAAATAAATGATGAAAGTTAAATTACAAAATGTATAGTTTTATCATATTTCAATTTATGAGAATTATTAATAAAAATATTAATATGAATTTTTTAATAATAGTAATTTTCACATTATATGACAATACATATTGGCTATTACTGTTCAGTTTTACTGGTTAAATTTTCCATTGGATATGTAATAATTAAAAAAAAATGAGGAGCTCAGTGATTACTCACTAATTAAGAGGTCATTGTAATTTATAACTAAAATATGTAAACTAATCTATCTAACACTGACTAATAACGAAAAACAAAAATAAATAATTGCATGTTGTAATTAGTTGTGTTCAATAAATTCGTAGCAAACTATTATAACTAATCATAATTGATTAAAACCTTTTCTTTTGTCATATATGAATGTTTCTTGTCTTTAAATTCACTTTTAATCCAATATTTTATAAATTAAATTTATTTGGTTTAACTATTTTTATTTTTTGACGAATACATTTTTTTTATATTTAACCGTTGACAATTAAAATATGCCTTACAATTTTTTTGGATAACTTCCAAGTAGCGGTTTATATTTTAATTTTGATCTTTATCCAATTTGATTACTCAAAGTTGTGATTGATTATATCAAAACACTTATAATCTTTAACGGCATATTAAGAGATCTAACACGTTTAATCAATTTAAACTATCACAAATTTTTTCAAGTCTAAATTAAATTACTTAGTTGACTAAGAAAATATAATTGTATTTTAAAATTGATTTTTATTTTTAAAAAGGAAAAAAGTAATGTATACCCAATTATTAATTTTTTAGTTATAAGAAAATTGTTATTTTTAATTTATAAATATTTAAGAGATATAACAATGTGGATTTCCGAATATTTAATGTATTACAATAAAATCAATCAGGATTATCATTCTAGATACATGAAATTATTGTTGGCTCTTTTGAATTATATGAATTTAAAATATTAATGACTTAGAATCATTCTATTGACCCTAAGCTCTTGTAATTCGTTTATATTAAATATAAAAAAATAGCTCTTATCAGTTTAATGCGGGGTCGCTTACATGACATCACTCCATTTTTCCATGCGGTTTACTAGTACTGAATAATTAATGTACGGGTTATTATAAAACAATGTTTTAAATGTTATTAAAAAATTACTTTGCTTACATGTAATTATAGAAACAAGAGCTGTTGTGACGATAAGAAAATGCCGAGAGTCGTTAATCGTATTGTCCTTAATTTGTCATTTGAAAACAGAAATTTTGTGTGCAGATAAAAGTACTATAGTAGTTTAATACTTTACGCTTTTAGAGGATACACAGGCTGTTAAAATATACATATATGATCAACAACTATTCGGTAATTAGAGTGTAGTACGAATACCCTATTTTGATAAACGGATTACTTATACTAGTTATCGTTTTCACTGAGCGGATGTGTTATCTGACGCCAATCATAATTATGTTAATCATTAACTTAAGTATTTAAATGACGAGCATGATTTACAAGTTTTTTGCTCTCTCTTGGGGTTTATGCCAAAAATCAATTAACATAAACGATGTATGAATGGGATATCCTTGATTCAATTAGGTACTATTTGTTTCAAAAAATTATTTCATGTTTACACAAACAAATGTAATTTTTTTTTTCATTAAAAGTTTCCTAACTAATTAATTAGCCAGTTATAAATTTTATTGATAAAAGTTTTAAAGCTAAATAATACAGTTAAATAGCAAATCTTGAGTTTAAAATATGAAAAAATAAAAAATATCCTGATTTATAAATTTTTTTATGAATACTAATTTTTTTCTTACTCTTAACACCAAATTCTACCTGCTAAAATATACACAAAAATTATTCTGTAGTAAATGTCGTTTTAAGTAAGATGTAATAAGTTAACTTTGTTTTATTTGTCTTAATTTATTAATACAATCAATAATTCTGTGGTTGTACTCTATACAAATATACACCTGTACATTTCTCATCTGTTTTTATTATAACGAAAGAAAAAGGTAGAAGTATCATAGGAAGAAAATATAATTTACAAAAAATGATAAAAAAATGTTCGTTTGTTACACTCGCAATTACAGTATTACTATGGAAAAATTAATTAATATAAAATAAAATTATTAATATAATAATAATATAGTATAATATGCTGTATGATACCAAAAACGGGAAAGTTTAACTGATGTTCAAAAAAGAAACGGCTGAAAATTTGGCTTCTAATATAATAGTTCATTATAGGTCTTATCAGTGTTGCGAAAATTATAAGTTAATTACTGGAACATTTGTATTTATTTATAAAATAATTATTATTCTTTAATTATCTATATTATTTTTATTTTTTGCAGTAATATTAGTGTAATTTAATTATAGAAATAAAAAATTAAGTAATTTAATTTTAATTTAAATTAATTATTGAAGAGTATTTTCAAAAAATTACTTGTTTCTTTATTTTGAGTGATTGATTTAAAAAGCTTATAGTACCCTTGAATGGCTTATTTAGAATTTTATCCTGGGGTTGTATATATAAATAAAATTTTTACATCTCTTCCACAGTACATCATAATTTAAGTCCTACCTTCTTAAGGGTTCACTTATTACGTTTAGGATCCTACATAACTTTAAAACAACCGGTAGTTCTGATAAATTTTATTCAGTTATCTAATATATTATTTATCAGCTGATAATTTGGAGGTATCTACTTTTATGATAAGATGGGCGAGTAACCAACACCAAGTCATCCTTCATACTACTTTGATTCTTCACTCTACGAATTAACCAATTTTAAAGTTACAAAAGATTTAGAATTTATTTTTTTTTTATTTTAATAAGTTATAAAACAAACTAATATATAATGTTTTTCCTTAAAGTTAATTACTTTCTTGTCATCCTTTTTACAATTTTAATTTGTTATTCATATTGTAAAATTGAAATTGAAGAAGTAGATGAATTTGAAGAATTTGATGATTCTCCAAGTTTTAATAGTAACAATAATGATATTAACAACCACGAAAATAAAGAAGAATCCTACTCTGCAGATAAAATTGAACCTGATGTTACCATTGAAGTATTTAAATTTGAATTATTAATTTTCAATACATTTATAGAAATAATTTTTTAGGATGATGATGAATTTGAGCATTTTAATGATGAGGAAGAATTTGAAGGTTTTGATACTGAACGGATACGTGTTGAAGATAAAGATCCAAAAATTACTATTGCATCAGTACCTGTACCATTTCATACTAATTGGGCAAATTATATAATGGAAATATTATTTATCATTGGCATTATAGCTTATTTTGCAAATTTCTTTTATGGTAGATCTAATAATGCTCGTTTGGCTGATATTTGGTTCAAAACTCATAAGTCATTATTGGATGACAATTTTTCATTAGTTGGTAGGTTCAAATTCAAGTTCAATAAATTTATTGTAACATTTTATATTTAGTTTTTGCTGTTAAAAATAGTACTACTAATAATTGTAATAATTTTCAAATTTATGTATTCATTATAAAACATATAGAAATTAGTGATTTCTTTTTGCTTTTTAGCCCTATCAAGGGTCATAGTGACCTACTCCCAAAGTGTAGGTTTTTTTAATCATTAATACTCCAGAATGGGAGTTTAATATGTTGTCAGAGAGAGTGATGGTAACTTCAATTACCGAACTAATTTCTTTCACAGCAAATAAAGTTACCCGTGATTAAGTTTTGGATCTGAGGCAGTGCTTCATTACCGACTTGGCCAACCTTTCCTCTTTTCCTTTAATAAGTAATTAAAGAAGTCATTTTATTTCATTTCCTTAAATTGTGCATAATCTTGTATTTTGTAGAAGAAATATCTTTAAGTAAATAAATTTATATATGAATAAATAAAGAAAATAATATATTTTAATTTCAATGTTAAGGTGATGATGGTAAAATTGAAAATGAAAGTAATGGTCTAATTAAAGAGACTGAAAGTACATATACATTATGGTGTAGTGGACGTATGTGCTGTGAAGGAATGCTAGTTGAATTACAATTTATTAAGGTAGTTTCTTTAAAAGAATTAATTTAATAAGAAATTAATATCTACATATAAATGAATTAATTATTTCTATTTATCTTAGAGGCAAGATTTAGCTTCCATGGCAAATCAGTTTTTAAGACCTTCACGGGATGAAATTCATGTTAAAGTTGATATGAACAAAGAAGATATGGATACATTTGTTTTTTGTGTTGCATCAAAAAAAACTGCAGCCAGAATTTCAAAAGAAATGGCTGACCTTGTAAATATTTAATTAATTACTAAAACCAGGTTTTTTCAAAAGTATAATATTTAAATATACTTCCATGCCAAACCTTTTTAGATGTGAAGACATCTTATGCAGTGTATAAACATTACTGTTTGGGGAGTAAAATTTTCAGCATAACCTTTTTTGCTTAACACTCCAACCTACCAGGTGTTTATTGCAGCCATTATACAGAATGCTTCAAATTTACCCTCTGTATCATTTATAATTATACTTATTATATTGTATATCGTTAATTAATTAATAGAAATGATTACAATATCTTCTTCTTCCTCCTCGCCTTAATCCCAACTACTTGGGGTCGGCCACCGTTATCCTAAACTTCCACTTGACACTCTTCCACATCATTTACACTCACATCAGCTGTCCTCAAATAGCAAATTATTTCAAATTAAGAAATTATTACATGGTGTATACTATTAATTTTGTTTTTCCGATAAAATTAGTTGTTTGGTTAATGTTGGCAGTTAAAGTGATCTAAAATGATATATGTGTAAAAATTGCTATATGTAATATATAATAACAATCCTGCCTGTAAATTTAAAGTTTTTTTAATTACAACTATTTTGGCTACCTTATAGTTTACTTTTTCTTTTATACTATTTTTTCAGAGTGTATTTTGCCCCGAACGCAAACCTGGTGCCAATTATGGCTTGACTGATGGATTTAGTGTTCATAGTGAATTAGGAGAAGTTTCCTCTACTATTTTAGATGCAAAGACTGTTAACTATTTAAACAAGTATGCTGATGTGATCGATTGCCTGCATTTTTCTGACAGATATTCTGGATTGAAATTGACTGAGTATTTATTTTAAAGTATCCTCTAGTATTCTTTGATGCATTTAATAATTTATTTTTAGTGATACTAATGTACCAACAAAGTTACCAGCTACAAAAAAAGTGTTATTATTTACTTTTACTATTCCAACTGATAAATATGCAGATCCACAAGATGCCATAAATGCTGTACACCCATTAATGTCATTTGTATTTCAGTGTATGGAACGTATTAAACGATTAAGAATAAGTAAAGAGGTATTATATAATATTGAACATAATCTTTTATATTGTTATTATTATTGTTTATATCTTTAAACGTCTTCTCTGAAAAGCTATGCTTGTATGACAGGACCAGAAAATCTTTATAGCTCAGTTTATTAGTATCAAACTATGGTACTTGCACACTGAGGCACAATTTGTTCTCAACTAAGATGGTCTACTTATGTATACTTATGTTTTATTCATAAACTATTCCAGGCTAAAATAAAAGCTGAAAAAAATAGATTACGTGTAGAAGAAGCCTTTTTGAAAACTACTCATGCAGCAAGAGCTGAAGCTGCTGCTGCACGAAAAGAAGAAAAAAGAAGATTAGAGAAAGAAAGAATTTTAAAGGTACCAATTATAAGTTATTTGTTAAGAAAAAAAATAATTTGATGTTTCACTTTTTTACTTAGGAGGATCCTGAAAAGCAGCGTAAATGGGAGGAAAAAGAATTAAAACGACAGCAACGAAAGAAAGCACCAAGAATGAAACAACTAAAAGTTAAATCTATGTAAAGGTACAATTTTTTACCTTAATTTTTTGTTAGTTAATTAAGTTTTTCGAAGAGTATTTGTTGAAATTGGATTCTAACTACTTTTTTGTAATGGTGTTTTATTGATTTTCCAGTTTACTGCCAAGTAATGTAAAATTATTAGTTTTTGTTTTTAGATAAATGTTATTAAATGTAGTATTTTGATAAGTACAAAATTGTATTTGAAATTTGGATTTTTTTAATGGAAAAAAATAAATATTGTAACTATTTTATGTATTTAATTATATAAAATGAAGTAATATTAATGTAGTAACTAAATGTTCATTATTTTATAAAAATTATTAACAAAAATAAAAATTTATGTCTATGCATTTCTGAAAAAATTTTATTACATCAATAATTTTAAAACTTATAATGTAATAGAATAGCTCAAATATTTATATATATATATATTTTTTTACAAATGCATAGATATAAATATAGTTTATTGGTTCATGAAAGTTTTTAACAAATGTATATCAAAAAGTATAGTTGAATAATATTCTTCTTTCATTAATTTAATTTCCAAAATTTTCTAAACTAAAATTGAAACTAGAGTTAATGAAATAAACTCATAGATCTAATGGGATAGTGAATAAATATTAAAGGGTAAAAACAATTGATAAAAAACCAGCATAGTTATACAATTATATATATATATACTTAGAGATTATAATCACATTTAAATAAAAAACATTTCAATGCAAATCTTTAAATAGTGTTTAATTTTTAGAAGGAATTATTGTATTATATCAAAAGCAACATGTACTTCTTATTTATGTCCTGATTATAAGTATTTCATAAAACTTGTTGTAATTTTTACATAAAAGTTATTAAGTTGTTGTATACAGAGCAATTCTTTTAATATTGGCTGCTCTATTTCTCTTTAAGTAATTATTTTATTAAGAAATATTTTTCAAATTAATTTATTAATTATTTAGTTTTTTTTTTTTAACTCATTCCTTATACTTTATAAGTATTTCAACTTTATTATTATAAATGGCAACAAACATATATAATTAGATAAGAAAATAAAAAATTATATAATTAAGAAAATAACTAGTAGAAAACAATTTTTAAAATAGTACTTCAGTAGTTATCAGTATTTATAAATAATGAATTTTGAACTCTTACACCTTGATTTTTAATATTGAATTATTTATTTTATTAATACTTTTGCTATTTATAATTCATGGCCTTTTTTCCTAATGGCAATCAGGAACCAAGTTTAATGATTTTATCCATATATTTCTATTTATTTTATAGAAAATTTAGTAAAAACAATATAGGCTTCAATAATTTAATATAATTAAAATAATATAAACGTGTATTTATGTAAGTAAATATATATATCACTTATGACATAATTATTGTTAAAAATGTTTGAGTATAAAAAATATTATACATTCAAAAAAAATATTAAATTATTTTTTGAGTAATGTTTTCTGACTACATTTGACAAATAATTATGTTTAAGTTCTCGTGATAAAAAAAAATAAGCTAAATATACTCGTTTTCCTTTTAGTAAGGGTAGTACAATGGTCTTGGGCCTGTGAAAAAAAATGAGTAAATAAGTACAAAAAATATACCAAAAAGATAGTTATCATTATTAAGGTTTCTACGTTATTTATTATAAAAAAAACTTATTAAAAAAAAAAAAAAAACCATTAC